TACGAAGATAAAGTATTTAACAAAAGAAACAGGAAAAATTGTATTTGACAAATGTATAAATGGAATAATTAAACAAGAAAATACTGAATGCAAGTATACCAAAACATATAAAAATTTCCAAATTAATTATGTTGAACCAAATATTTTATTAACATGGAATATTCCTAAAACATTATTAAATCAAAATTGCATTAATAAAAGAAATTTCTATAGTTGGAAGTAACCTCATTAAGAATCATAATTGTTCAGTACAATTAGATGAATTCACATGGCACATGTATTGTATTCCTATACATTTTGTAGTAAATTTTCGAACCTTTGTCGAACATTCGAGAAAATTTTCTCTTCTTCTATCCACAGGGTTCCTATGGAAAAAAAATCAGAACATTCTACTTTGCGTCGCATGTTAATGATTCGCCCAGTCTAAGCCAGGGATCGCACGTAAGAATTACTTTTTTAAAAAAATTAACAAATAAGTCTTATTTTTCAATTTTTATTATAAAAATCAACAAATATTTGTCAACTTTTATAATAAAAATTGAATTGAAATAACTCTTGAACTGTGGGGTACATTGGTTTAAAATTTATATATGTATAATCTACGCTTTAATACCTTTCTGTTGATATGCCATATGTCCCCAAAATATTTTTGATGATGTAAAAAATATTATTATTATAAAAAATATGTTGGGGACATATGGCATATCAACAGAAAGGTTTTAAAGCGTAGATTATACATATAGTGACATATCCATAGTTCCACATAACTTTATGCACATGTCCATACGCCCACGCACTTACACACACATACACCATCCCAGAATTCACCCTTCAGATAACCTTAGTTCGCCACCAGCTAATATCTAATTGCAAATGCACCCAGGCTTTAGACTAAACATCCAGAACGAATCAAATTACGTTATCAGTTCGTTCCCACACTTTTGGACCCTCAATGGAAAATTACCATGAGAAAGAATCCCCAAAAGATTTAGACTAAACAATCGGATTGAGTCGCCGGTGCATTATCAATCAACAATCCAAAGGGCAATTTTAAAACTCACTCAATTAAAGCTAACTCCACTCATAGAAAGCTCTAAAGCTCAGAACCGAGGTATGATCATCAAAGAAGTTTAAGTTAAGAAGCGAGTTCAGTTTGAGACTTGTCTAAAGACAGTCAGTGTTCTTCCAAATAAAAAAATATTGTCACCAGTTTAAAATTAAATTAAATAAAATTTTTTTTTTTATATTAAACTTATGGTGCAAACATTTTATTATATATAAATTTTAAACCAATGTACCCCACAGTTCAAGAGTTATTTCAATTCAATTTTTATTATAAAAGTTGACAAATATTTGTGGATTTTTATTATAAAAATTGAAGCATAAGAGTTATTTGTCAACTTTTATAATAAAAATTGAAAAATAAGACTTATTTGTCAATTTTTTTAAAAAAGTAATTCTTACTTGCGATCCCTGGTCTAAACACACTATAAGGATCCACATTCGAACCACAATTTTTTTAATCAGATAAATTCTTGGGAAAAGTATGCCGTTGCTTCAAAGTCATCCCCTTTAGAGAACGATTTTCCCCGAGCCCCTTACTTTTTATTTGGTTGGCTACTAGCTAACATCAAGATCCAATTTCGTTTCGTTAACTTTTAGTTTTTCTCATTATTACCAAAAATGATGTTAACTCGCAGTGGTGCCAAAAAATTGAAGCAAACCGAAGGCGTGAGTTTTTTAAATAATGCTTAGAAAATTATAAGTAAATATAATTACGACTCTAGAAACCTCCCTCGGAAACTAAAGTAGTAAAGGCTCGCGAACCTGAGGCCCCAGTCAGTTCCACTCACCTGGCCGAGAAATCTAACGACAAAGAGGTTGGTTTTAAAAATATTTTCACAGATTCTAGCTGTTTTGTATGTTAATTTGATTTAGGAATCTGACATGGTTAAAAAAAGAAGGGGCGGAAAAAAATTGGTTGCTCAACCGCCTTCTGAAGAAAGTCCAACTGCCCAGAGCCCAGAAGCCTCCACCAAACAACCAGTAGGATTATTATTATTACCATTTAATAATCATTTCGGATTTATAATTTTTAAATTTATATTTCACAGCCCACTAAAAAGGCAGTCAAAACGAAGGCGACTAAGAAGGCAAAGAATTCCGATAAGGAAAACGAAGCAGTAACGTCTGATGATCCTCCGCCAAAGGAACCCTCTCTTAAGACAGTGAAAGTCTCAACAAAAATCAAACAACAGCCTTTGAAGAATCAAGCGGATGTTAAACGCAAAAATTAGTATCAGGGAAAAAGTGTACACATAATTGGGTGGAAATGAAGACGTTGCATGCTGGAATTTTTGTTCATTTCTTGTTGTACTTTCAGTTATTTTTTCGAAATTTAATTTCAAATGAACATATTTATCAATTTGTTTAACAACTTTTCTCAGTTGTCAGTTAGATACAAATGTTAACTTTACTTTTAAACGAGAACCAAATAATTAAATGTTTGAAAAAGAAACCGTAAATAACACAGGTACACAGCCAAAAATTTCCAGGAACCATTTCTAGTTTTACATGATACTTCCATTCAAGATTTAATCCTCAGAATTGTTTTTACATCAGAAAAATCTCTACAATTTTGGGATTTTCAGCTTTGGCGTCGAATTCCAAAGACATGGGCAATGGTTCACAATGGGGACTATTTTTTAGGAATGCCGTGATGTATTGAGAGTAGGTCCTACCGAAAATAATAAAGGTTAGTACAATTATATAGGCCACGTAATTCAAAATGTCGGCAAACATCGGTTTTTTGTATTCTTAGCTATACCGCGGAACCTGTAGGTGATGGAAAATAATTTTGTATGGGACTTTTACTCAGGAGCACCCAAATATCATGGAAAACTTGAAATGGTTCGTGGAAATTTTTGGCTGTGTACCTGTGTTATTGATATATTTTTTGAAACAAAAAATCAGGCACTTAGGATCGACATACGCAAAAAAGGAACCACCATAGTGATCCTCTTTGCTTAATCTATTAATTATCTCCATGATTTTTATTTTTGGAATTTTTATAATATTCCTCAAAAATAATGATTATTGTTGATTTTTATTTTTTTCTCTCAGAAATAAAACTCACTTGGACGCCACGGCTTTTCTGTGCCGATTTTCGGCGTTTTTTTTGCATAGTCCTATGTAGCGAATGCAGACGTACCACCTCTGAAAAAAAAAATGAACTTGGCTTCTGCATCCCGTTAAATGGTATCATTCTTATAGTCAGTAAAGGAGATACTTCTAGCCTTTGCTTATGTTTATGTATTTAACCATGGATTGCAGTCGAAATGCACTTGTCTTTCTCTCTCACTCTACAATAACTAATTAACCAATGAAGGCTGCCAGCTCGACAATACATACTGGAAGAACAATTAACAAAGTGCCACCGCTTTTTGAAATCTCTAGAATCTAAAGAAGCATTGTCCCTTATTTTTAAGAACAGCTTATCCTCTTCTTTTTAAGAATTCTCGGCTTTTGCAGAACTAATTTAAATATCAAACCATGTATAGAAAAGGGTTTTATGTAAGTAGAAATTGGTTAACAAAGTCTGAAGTATTAGTTGTTCTTAAGAATTCGCGGTTCTTCAAAAATCGATTTCAACATAGAACCTATTTAAGACATAGGTCTATAACTTCTATACAACCCAAAGCCTATTGATGTGAGCACATATCCAGCTAAGAAAAAAATACATTTTCTTTGTATAAACCGCTTAAAAAGCGGTCTATGTGGGTCTATGTGGAATAGTTCATAACATCTTGTTAAGTCGTTTTGCTAATATATAAATGACATAAAGTCCTAAGTTTGCTACAACCTTTTGTATTTATGCATACCTCTTGTAAACTAATAAGCGGGTTTTTAAAAGTTTATACAAAGAAAACACCTATTTTATTAACTCAATATGTGCTTCGTGGTTCTACCTACAAGCACAAATTTAAATCTTTCTAAAATTCCGTACAGAACGGCTGCAATCGCACTTTGAGTGATATTTTTAAGCGAAATAATATCGCTCACATGATAATCATTATTTCTGAGCGATATTTTTTTTGCTTACAAATAATCATTAAAGGGTAATTTTTATTTTTTCACTTATAATGATTACGGTCCGTGGTACTCCCCCTTAAAGCGTTGGTTTTTTACAATTTTAAAATGTAACGTTTGTTTCTTAAATTTATACAGTTTACCTTGTGTCTCTGCTTATCCGAGTTCGAAACCGCGGATAGCCTGGTACCAACGGTTTTATTCAAAAATGGATTCACGGTGACACTTACGTTTGGCTGACTTGCGTTTTACATTTTACATTTACGTTTTGACGCATACGTCGACAGTGGCAAAAAACATCGGTGTCTCTAGAAAATTTTAAAACATCGAAGCATCGATGTTTCTCCACCTCTAACAAACAACAATTTTCGGCTCTCTCTCTCTCTCACTGAGTTAATGACGGAGAGCCGGTGTTACGTATTACACTTACGTTTATGACACTTACGTTTGCTTACGTGGAGTGTCGGTCACACTCCTTTTTGGTATTTTGGCATCTTTCAAATACGCACCGACGGTCTTACTAAGCTCTCTCTCGCTCTCTCCTCTCTCTCGTTAATAACGGAGAGCGGCTGTTACGTATAACTTACACTTACGTTTGCTTACGTTTTGACGCTTACGTTTTGGTGATGTGACCAAAAATCGATTGTGGCAAAAAACAGATTTTTTCAAAAATGAGTTCTGCATCTTTCAAATTCGCCTCGACGGTCCCACCAATACAACAAATTACAACAACAACTTTCGGCGGAGCAACACAAACACACGGAGCGGATGAAACTCACTTTGCTTTGCTTTCGTATTTTGCGGGTTTTACTTTGCCTGATAGCTGTTCGCGATATTCGATATTCGACATTCGGCGCCATGAACGGGGTCCTTCCGAAATAGAAATATAAATCGTGAGCACTAATCGGATTGCAGTTCCAAGGAACAACGGGTTTTACTGTGTTTCGCCAAAGTGCGCGAAAAGAACCGTTGAACGGTTTCTGGAATATTGGAAGAGGAGGCAAAGTCGATCAAAACAAAGTGCATGCTAAAAACAAAGAACATCGCCATGTTCGAACTAGAGGATTACTCGAGCGGCATACACGAGGGTTTCTTCAGCAAATACGCGGTAAGAACAGAGAACAAACAGCCTAATAACTTTTTGCACACATTTCGCCGGCCGGCCACCACACATACACACGCGCATGTGCTCGTTCGCGCACACAGACAGGCGCACTTTTTGAATTTAACGTTCAGTCTCCACGTTCCCCACACCCCCAACCGTTCCCATTCCCACCTGAACGAACAACCCACCACAGAAACTTTGGTTCCACTCGCCATTTTTGTGGAGGACGTTTATAAACGATAACATTTTTGTGGAGGACGTTTATAAACGATAACATTTTTGTGGAGGACGTTTATAAACGTCCGAGTGTGTGTGTGTGTGTGTTTACTTTTGATCGTTAAGCTTTGAAAATTGCCTTTTTCGCTTTTCGCTCAATAAACGGATGATTAATTACACACAACCGGAACAGCCAGCGCCGATAATAAATAATGGACTTGTGGTTCTGTACAGATTGCCTACTTCCTCATCTTCCGTTTGTTGGCGGCGGCGGGGGGTTACTAACTTGGCTAGCCGCGGAATTCACCTCTGTTAAGCGACTGTTGTCCGAAGTAAACAGTGGACTTTAATTCACTTTTAATTCGGAGGGGAATTATTACTTATTGTTTTACCGAGCTCAACCAGCACAAGTCTTTCTTTTGTCTTTTGCTTGTAGCCGTTCTCAATTATTTGGCTTATTTATTTTTTGTCACACACAGCGATGGTTAAAACAATAGTGCATAATAGTAACAATAATTCTAGAAATTCATTTAAAATAAATAAACACTATTTGGAAAGTCTTATCGTTAATTTTTGAATGAAAACTATAGTATTTCTTGTGATAAAATTAAATGTATGAAAAATAGGTTATGAGGATAATATATTATACTGTGTAATTTTAAATAGTCTTCATAGTCTACTTCGTTTGGTGATACCATTGAAAAATATAATTGAATAAGGACGATCCGTAGTTTGCATAGCACAGGTTTCACTGTAGAGTTCTGGGGACTTTCCTATGGACAAATTCTAGATAACATCACATTTTGTTAGGGGATAGCACATTCGCAGTGCTATTTTCTTGGCCGCCACTGTGGCCCCGAGTACTTCACTGTGTTTCTCCGCTGGTTCGCTGAGTTTTTCGTCTGGGGGCCTCTTCTTCAGCTTTTGCGTTTTAAACTTTTTGAAGGCCAAGCGTTCACCTCGAACTTCTTGGTTTTCAACTGTTTTAGGCCGGGTCTTTGGGCCCACCAACAATGTGATTTTAGCCACTGATGATTTTGGGTCAGAAAATATGGCTAAAGTTTAAGTTTGAGCTAGACTAACCGCCAAAATCGGCAATCCGGCAGGAGAACTGACCTCCAGCAAAGTTGGCATATTTTGAAATGGAAAATCAAGCCGTTCTTTTGGAAAACATGTGCGCCTGTTAAATGCAACATGCAAAACTCCACACACAGACACACAATCTACAAGTGTTGCGAATTGCGAGTGCGTGCGTGTGTGTGGGTGCGCGAAGGGGAACAAAGAAAAGCAAACAAAATAAAAAAACGTTTTATCTTGGGGTTTCCGCATGTGTGTGCTGTGTGTTTGCCTGTGAGTGTGGGAACAAAACAAAAGAAAAATAAAAAAGCAACAGTCGACAGTTCCAGCTCCCCACATCAAAAAGCTTTTCTCACCCGTTGTCCATCTCTTTCGCACTGTTCTCTTTCTTCTCTTGGTTTCGGCAACCTTTGTTGCAGCAACATGGCAAAAAAAAGCAGAAGAAAAAGAAAGAAGAAAACAAAAATCAAAGTAAAAAGTAAAAAGCCAACAAAGAACAACTTCAAAGTTCAACGCGCTTTTCATTGGGATTCTCAGGGTGGGGGGAAGGGTTGCCAGGGGGTGGTAGCACACCTACCCCAAAATGCACGGAAAGCGGGAGAGAGAGAGATGGAGAGTGACTGAGATAGAGACAGAGGAACTGTGGGAGGACTGCCACTTGTGTGTTTTTCGTTCTGCTGCCGAATATGAGCGCCCAGCTGTATGCCGCATAGATTTTCTCACGGCCCCAACACACAGACACACAAGGCACGCACACTTGCAGGCATTCTGCCCCTCGGCCTCCCACACACACACACTGATGGCTATTTGATATTGCTTATAGGGAAATTTAGATCAGGTGTGCCTAACTTAAGTTAATATTACAAAAATAAATAATTTTAGGAAAATCCTTAAAAATTAAAACCATAATACATTCATTTGAAAGCAATCGCACATTAACAAAAACCCCGAGTCAAAAAGGTAATTACCATTTGGTTATTTCCGCGATACATCTCGCCCGACTGACTAATTAGCCCAACAAAAAACATCACCCGCGGCGAACTTTCTCGAAGGGAAAGATCAAAAATGGGTTTTCAGGCTAAAAATATACTTTTGGCAAATGAGGATTGGTGATTTCTTAAAACACATGCACTTAATGAATGAAATAACCCACGGGGAAACTGCCTTACTTCTCGCTAAACCGAGAGATTTAAAAACGATTTACGACTCGAGATCATCCCGTGTGCTTAAGGATGTACCTCTGGTTCGGGACTCGGATTCGGTTGGGAATTCAGGCAAGCGACTTTTATAGCACCATAAAGTAATTTACAAATGGGCGCTCATGACCCCGGGGAAGATGTTCGAGAAGGGTCTAAGGAAACTGTTGGTTTTACCTGAGTTCTTTATTTGTCCTGTCCATCCTCTCTTCTTGTACTTCTCTGTGTGTCAGCAGAGTGATTTCTTGAGGTGAAAGGCGGAGAAAGATGACGTGCAACAAGAAGAACTGCAACAAAAGACAGGCAGATGCAGGAAATACGGAAAACATGGAACAATTGCTAGTGACGAATCCTGCCGAGAAAAGGACGAAAATACCCCCGGTGGCTCCTTGATTCCTTGGTTCGTTGCACAACTTAAAAAGGCCAACAACTGAGCAGCTGCAACTGAGCAGCAACAACTTTTCGAAGGCAGGAGGTGAAAAAGAAGGGGGGGGGGTCTGTAGGCCTTGTCGAAGTTTTACTGACAACTTTTGCATTTTCCTTTAATCCCCCTGATGGCCAAAAACAGCTTGCTGTGAACTTTGCTCGCCTGTTCAATGCATTTTTATTTCGGCACATTTTTTCGAGAATTTTTTGGGGGGGCAAAAAGTAAGAAAAAATGCAATAGTGGAGTGGAGTTGGGGGTAGCAAAAAAGGCAGGTTTCGTATACTAGGCCTTTTCCTGGGCTTCCTGAGCGCCGCATTCAAAAGCCGGTTGATTTATTAGGTCTCTTGGATTCAGGGATTTATTAACCCTTCACCCGCATACTGTCCTCTTTTTCTCCTGCCTACTCCCCCTATTACAGCCAAAAGGTGTGAAAAGTGGCAATTTCTGGGCACCGGAGGCCCGGCAGTAAACTAATTAGAGCCAGGAAGTTCGCTTTCCGTTTGGCGCAAATGCAATTCTAAACTGTTTACGATTCTGGAATTGCAACTTACAGCAGGAAGGAAAATAGAAAACTACAGTGGGGTGTCGGTAAAGTGAATCTTAGACCTTTTTATGAAATACTTTTAAAAATTAAAGTTTTTTTAGTAGTTGCTTAGAATTTCTTTCTAAATTTTGAGAAGGGTTTCCAGAACTTCAATATTCCTTAGGCTCTGTAATATAAACCCTTTGGCTCACAATTGCGTAATCCACTCAATCGATCACTTACTGTACCGCAAGCAACAGAACAGAACTAGAGACTTATCAACCCCCGAGTTGCAGCTGCCTGAGCCTGCTTCCTCTTCCCCACTCCCTTCCAATTTCGACTGGAAACTGGCAATTCAACAGAGGGCAGGCCAAAAGGTTATCACACAGACGGCGAAACGCACACACACTCACTTTAGGAATGAATTTAGCGAGGGGAGGATGAAGGGAAGCACCGAACTCTGAGCAGGGAAAAACGGACGGAAAGAGGAGACCTAGAGGAAAACCCTCAATCATTCCATCACTCCCATAATGGAGTGGTCTACGGGCCCGAGCAATATCATATCATCTGCGTTCTATTTCGGTTCTAATGCTCAATTAATGAGCGCGGGGGTGGAGACGCAAGGGATGGGGGTTAACTGTCGGCAAAAGGTTAAAGGGTTGTCCAAATTGCCAAAAAAGATCGCATAATTCAGCATGAAATCTACACGAAATTGGTGAATCACTACTATTGGGGTAGATTACGAAAAAGGGTTGGATATTCCTCGAATCGGATTAAAGACAAAGATAATAGTGATCCAACGATGGGTTTGATATAATGTTAGAAATACAGGCAGCTAATTTATTTTGTTTGTTTCTAAGCACTATGACAAATTGCCGTTTAAAATATTTATAAAATTGGAATTGGAAGAAACTCTTAATAAATAAAGCCTTTGACAGACCCCAATTTATTTCATTATATCTTCTACAAATAAGACTTTTTGCATGCGAATTGGCAGATGCGTTTTCTTTATAATACCATAATGGATGGCTAAACATCTTTTATTAACTTCCTTTAATCGCAGCAAGAATCCTAGATCTACACGGTCTGGGTTCTATCATTGTTGGGTTCTTACGTCCCCTGTCCAAATATCAATTAAACCACATCATGAACACTTTGTCGCATTGACTCTTATCGCTACTCAATACAAATCGATTGAAAAACTGAAAAAAAATTGAGAAACTGCTGAGAATGGCCAGCTGCCGAAGATTGCCAGCTGTCCCAGTCTTCTGTTTTCTTTCTTCTGGCTCCCCGACTGCTGGAGAGCTCTCTTCCGAGTTTCCCTTTTATCGGTTGGGTTGCTTGCAACATGCATGTTGCATGGTGATGGTGGCTGCATTCGAAAAGCAACAATTACTGGCTCAGCCTTTTGGCCCTGCTCTTGTCTGCTTATCGGCCAAACACCTGCCGCGAAATAATTCGATTTTGTTTTGGCCAGGACGCGCCATATGGGGCCTGTATGAGGAGTGATGGTGGTGCAATTGAATTGGGTAAAACCTTTGCAAGATTGGGTAGGGAAAAGCGAACACTCGAAGAAAAGGCATTATTTCAAGACAAGACAAAAAAAAGTAGCATAGATCTTAAAAGGGGTTGTGTTAATAAAAGATAATTTTTATTGAGAAAAGTAATAAAAAAGTTAGGCACTTCTTTATAAAACCTCTTAGTATTTTGATTTTATTTATTATCTAATTGTGGTATCATAGTATTTTGATTTTATTTAACCAAATAAATACCCATTTCCCCCTGTGTATTTCAATCGCATAATGGAAAAACAAGGAAACTGAAAATGGGCGGAAGCACTTGGATGCCACTTGAAATTTTGAACTGACAAAACAGGGATCCACAGAATCCTCATCGCCCCTCTGCGAATTCCTCACATCCCGATAATTCCATCACAGACACATGGGATGGGGAATTGGGTCTGGGAGAGTGGTGGTGAAGGGGTTGTGGAGATAAAGGTGCTCACTTTTTGGGGAACCCCATTCCCCTCTCTCTCCACCCCCTCTAGCCATCTCTTTTTTCACAGTGATAAAGGAGACCCGAACATGCGCCTGCACCAATTTATGATATCCTGCTAAATTATGCAACTTATCATTCCCGGTGTGTGTATGTTATGTGTCTATCGATTTTTCAGCGTCGCCGCATAATAAAAACACAAAAGTCGTCCTGTTTGGGGTCACAAAATGACCTCCGCCCCCTTTTTTGGGGTCAGGTCAGTGTTTTGTGCTCTGCTTCAAGGACACCTTGACATTGAACTCTCTCTCGCTCTCCTCTCTCCCCATCTCTGTCGCTCCTTGTCTAACAGCAGCGCCACTTTTAACAGCCGGCCCAAAAACTGTAAAGTAACAAAAGCCTCCATATCATCATACTACATTTTGCCAACAGAGCTGCAAAAGAAGAAAATATAAAGTCCGCAGGCAAAAACAGCAAAAAGCAAAAGTAATTTTGCTTTGCCTCGCTTCTTTTGTTGTTTTTGTTGTTGCCCGCCTTGTGTTTTCTGTTCTCAGCAACTCGCCGCATGTTTTGTTGCCTACTGTACGCGCAACAGAGGTCGCTGTGGCAGCTCTGTTATGTGCGTTCTATGTTTCTGTAAATTTCCTACCCTCTCTTTCTGGCTCTCATTCTCTCTCTCTCGCTCAACTTCGCCGCACACATAGAGAAAAAAGGAAAAAAGTTTCCCTGTTTTTGTACGGCTTTAATTCCCTTTTCCCTCGGCAGCTTATATGTTTGTACGAGTATATTATGTCTGTATGTTTCCCCCTTTTCTGCAACATGCTGCCGCAACATTTCTGGATGTAAATCTAATTCAAAGAAGTGAGTCACTTTTTGTGGGGGGAGGGGAAAAGTTTGCCTCTCCAGGCCCCATTTATAATGCTGGTCGCGATTCGCGATCCCCGCAATCCTCGATTGTGTTGCATAAAACTTTCAATTTTTCTGATATCCGGTTTGGCCGCCGCCTTTGCAGTTGTTGCTGTGTGGCCTTCTCGCAAAATGAACCTGGACCTCGACTCCTTTTCCTCCCGCTTTTGTTTATGTTTATGTTGTGTAAATACAGCGATTGGCAAAATAATAGTTATCAAAATTTTGTAATAAAATTACATAAAAACTGGTATAAGAAATTTAAAGTGGTTAAGGCTGGGCAATGCATATCCTTCAATATTTTTAAAATCAATAATAAATTTATAACCTGGTATAATTACAAAAAATATGCATTAACAATTAAAAGTTGTTCTAGACTTGTTTTAAGAAAGTCTTTCTTACATTCTTAAATATTAAATTTAAAAATGGCTTTTATTTTTGCGCCCACCACTGTATGTACTCGCAATGTTTTGAACATTGTACATACATATATTTATGTAAACGTGCAGCACCGACCCACGAAAAAAAAAAATTGTTTACATGTGCCGACTTTGTTGTTGTACTGGTTATGGTGTTGCAACATGAGTTATTTTCGTTGTTTTGTTGTTGGACTTGTGGTATATGGTACTCTGAAAATATCCAAACCCCGACTTTTTCCCTTTTCCTATCCTTTTGCTGTCTGCTTGTTGTTTTGTATTTATTTTTTTCCAGCCTGCCTGCCTTGGCGCGTAAAAAACTGGTTTTGAACTCGGCTCTCTTGCTCCTGTGGTCCCTCATTTGTTATGGTTGTTGTTGTTGTTGCTGGTGCCTCATATAGAAAATGAAAACTTATCCGATCCCCAAAACACAGACATACATACATACCACCACTCACATGCAGATGCACGGGGATATCACATTCGGACCCAGATCCGAGCGACTTGTGTTACAGATTTAATCATTATAATATATGTTTGTATGAGGGTTCTATGTGTGCATGATTGTATGCCAAGGAATTTTATCCTACCAGAGGTTTTCTTTGGAAAATCAAAGCGCGGGAAAATTTTCAGTACGTGTTTCTGGATTTGTTGATGTTTTGATTTGTGCTAAGCGAAGCAGAATGGATATTTGTTTGCTGGGAGATACAGTTGAAATGAAATGTTATATCTTGGTAACATAATAATAATAATAAATCGGGAAAGGGGTTTTCTAATATACTAATATTTTGTTATCCGATATTGGAACAATTATATTTTCTATGTTCTATCTGTATTTTCAAACTGAGATTTAGGATTTATGGGTTATAGCAACTTGTACTAACATTTATGACATAATACTAAATTACATACTTTCTTTTTCAACACCAGAAAGTGTTGTGTACTGACTACGATATAAAAAACAGTTTGATATTGATAATAAAAATGTACGTTACTTCCGTTTTGCAGGATGCGGCTGGACCCTCGCTGGACTTTTATGTATCCGACTCGATGCAGGAGATGCTGAACGTGGACATTCGCGCAGAGATCGCCAATGTGGTGGGCAGTTCCAGCAGCGACCTCACCGCATCACTGGATCAGACCCTGGAAGCTATATCCGCGATCAATAACACCCAGAACAGCGGCCAGTCGGCCTCCTACAATGCAAATGCGAATTTCCTGACCAGCAGCGCACTCCACGCCTCGCCCACGGCCAAATGGATGGGTTCATCGGCCAGCTTTTGGTCCAACACCGATTACTATGCGGATCTGGGGGCCTGCGTTAACCCCATTTCCGTAATGCCACTGATAAACTCATCTTCCGGTTCCGGAATGTTCTCGCCGAAGCGAAACAAGACAGTCTCATGCACTCAGGGAAGAGCGGGAGCGGTGCCCTCGTCTCCTGGCGCCGAGAGGGATCAGCACAAGTCGCACCTGACCTTCTCGCCGGCCCAGATGAAGGTCAGTGCAGGGTCCATGCGACGGGAGCAGGTTATGGCCCACATTCCCAAGCAGATATCCGTGGTTACGGGAACCGGGACCACCGCGCCCGCCACAATGGCCACAAATTCGGCGCTTCAACGTCGTAATTCCTCGGCTGTAGATGCAGTACGAAAGGACCTAGGCACAGAGCTGCGCAAAGCCCAGTCCAGTCCGGTGCCCAACTCGGTGGAGGAGCTGGGCAAGGGCAAGGGATCCGCACTGCTTAACGCAGGCGTTGGAGCCACCAACACCATTAAACTGGCACCCGGCATCGGCGGTCTGACCTTTGCCAACAGCGTTGCCTACCAGAAATTGAAGCAAACCTCCAACGTCAAGTCACCAGGAGGAATCTCGCCAGGAGCGGGTTCAAATATCGGCCTCAAGCGGGAGGACTCGAACAAGCGAGGACTGCAGGTTAGCACCACACCAAAGAGTATCGCCTCGGCGGCCAACTCGCCGCACCATCAAATGCAGAGCAACTACAGCCTGGGATCACCCTCGTCCCTGTCCTCTTCGTCGGCCTCTTCACCGCTGGGAAATGTTAGCAACCTGGTCAACATTGCGAATAATAACAGCAACGGCGGAGGTAATGTCGGTTTGGTGAAGCCCCTGCAGCAAAAGGTCAAGTTGCCACCGGTAGGCAGTCCGTTTCCCAAGCCAGCCTACTCCTACTCCTGCCTCATCGCTCTGGCCCTCAAGAATTCGCGTGCAGGATCACTGCCCGTCTCGGAGATCTACAGTTTCCTCTGCCAGCACTTCCCCTACTTCGAGAATGCCCCCAGTGGCTGGAAGAACAGTGTGCGTCACAATCTGTCCCTGAACAAATGCTTCGAGAAGATCGAGCGGCCAGCCACGAATGGTAATCAGCGAAAGGGTTGCCGCTGGGCCATGAATCCCGAGCGCATTAACAAGATGGACGAGGAGGTGCAAAAGTGGTCGCGCAAGGATCCGGCTGCCATACGTGGAGCCATGGTCTACCCGCAGCATCTGGAGTCCTTGGAAAGGGGTGAGATGAAGCACGGATCGGCCGATTCGGATGTGGAGCTCGACTCGCAGTCGGAGATCGAGGAATCCTCGGATCTGGAGGAGCATGAATTCGAAGACACCATGGTTGATGCCATGCTGGTGGAGGAGGACGAGGAAGCCGAGGAGGAGGAGGACGACGATGATGAGCACATACTCAGCGAGTTTGAGGCGGAAGATGAGCGTCAGTCCCATGTCAACGGAAACCAGTCGAGTAACCACCTGCCCATCGACCATGCTTTGCTTGGACAGAAAAGCAGCGACTTTGATATAGAGGTGAGTTTGAATATGCATTTCTTTAAGTGTTCAGTTTTAACCTTTTCTTTAATCTTCAGGTCGACGATCTGTACGATGCCATCGATATCGAGGACGACAAGGAGGCAGTGCGTCGGGCTATCGCCAACGCCCAGGCGCAGCACATCATCGAATTGAATCCGGCCGATTTGAATGCCTCCGATGGCTACCATCACCAGCAGCAGCAGCCGCCATTGAAGCGGGCTCGCGTGGACATCAACTATGCGATCGGCCCGGCTGGCGAGCTGGAGCAGCAGTATGGCCAGAAGGTGAAGGTGCAACAGGTCACACAGCCGCAGCAGCATCCGCCCACCTACAACCGGCGAAAGATGCCGCTGGTCAACCGCATCATCTAGAGCGGTTACATTACATTACATTAATCACTTAGTGCTAGGTCTTTGGTATTTAAGGAACCCTTGCTACGCTTAAACATAATCCCTAAGCCCCATCAGCCAATATCGAATATCAGTTTTCGGTTTCGTGTGCAGAAGCCAACAGTGTTATTTAATACCCAACTCCTTTACTTGTAGTTCAGTTTGGTTGCCGTTTGATTTTAAATCTCAACTGAATCAGAAGGAGAGCTTGTGTGCCCCTTTATTTTTGCTTAATTTGAATCTTTTTCCCCTTAGTCGTTTCTCGAATAAATCTTTATAATTTATGTTAATCAAACACCCGAAATTTTGCTCCACTTGACGATACTTCAAGTCCGTTTTGCCTGACGCCTGAGCGGAACAGCTCAATAGGTTCCACTGACGAAGCATTAAGCATGTTAATACCATATTTTTCCCAACTTTTGATTTGATCTCCCACTGACAAACAAAATTTCATCCTTAATTGATAAGAAACTTGACAATGCATTTATGACAAATGATTCCGCGCGTAGTCGTAGAATAATATCAATGTGCAACACAACGATTATTTTGACAACGAAATGTGAACAGTAGGTTTATGTTTTGACCTTTGTTGGTTATTACACCCAATGGTGAAAATTTGCATTTGCTAACATTTTCAGCTTACATTTAAGAAAGTTGAAAGAGAATTGATCACACACATACTTGCCGGTCCAGTATTCGTATGCGAGTTATAATGCGGATTTTTATAGAACTTTTGTATGAATTGTACTATATACATATATACAGACACAGAAATCCCACAATTATTGTCGGAAAGTTCAGTCAATTAATTATACGGTTATTTTGTAAGCCGGTTCGGAATGTAAATAGTTTACACGCAGAGAAAAACTTGTATACTATGTGCTAGCTGTAAGAAAGATGTATGTAATTTTATTTGTAAGCCAAACCCGAATTCCAAATGAAACAAGATCCGAAAACCAATAAGACTTGAAAGAAGCGTACCCGACTAATGAACATGATCAAGCCTCAGAAGTAAATAGTACAAAGAGCTAGCGCTAACTAAGTTACGGGCACGTAAAAGAAAGCATTTACAAGGCCAGCTCATGGATGGCTCAAACAAATGAATCCTTTTTGTTATTATTCTTTTCTCATCTGATGTTTCGAGTCAGCTTTCGCATTCAACAATTCCATTTACAAACCAACAACATTCATGCATTTATTTGTTGTAATATTGGCACCTAATTAGCATTAAAAATGAATATTGTCATTATAAGTATAACTATGTAAATCCTTAAGCTAAGAAAGAACAATTTTTGTATAGAGTTGTTAGAAAATCAATTGACAAAACAAAATTGAAACCAAAAAAAGAAATAAAATAAAACTGTACTAAAAATATTATGCTTTAGACTTTTTCTCTTTAAAATCGAATCCCAAATACGTGGAACAGTGATTTCTTGGTAAATTGATAATAATAAATACAGATTCCTTAAGATCAAAAATAACTGGCGACTTAATCCGCTGATTTTACAGATGGGGGGAGAGGTGGATGAATTGATAGCGACGATAAAGTATATATTGTGAAACATTTTAATCGAACAAAATACCTATTAATAAGGTTAAAAACAAGAGAAAACGCTATAGTTGGGTTGGTGTCCCGACTATCTAATACCCGTCACTCAGCTAAAGGGAGTGCGAACGCTGTACTCGGGTAGGTGTTTCGACTATCTAATATTCGAACCTCAGCTAAAGGGAGTGCGAGGGAGATAGATATATACATTTTGATTGCGTATAACTTTTTAATGAATGGTCCGATTTCAAAAATGTCTTTTACATTTCGATAGGTATAAATATACACAACAAAATTGCATTTGTACTTCTGGGAAATCTTTAAAGATGTGGGCGCAGGACCCATTTGAAAATCGTTAGTGGGCGATTGTGGGCGTTAGAGGGGGCGTGGCGCTGGTCTGAAATAAACTTACGCTACGTAGGAGGCTCAAGAATATGTGTGGAAAATCTTAACCTTCTAGCTTTTGTAGTTTCCGAGATCTCAGCGTTCATACTGACAGACAGACAGACAGACGGACAGACGGACAGACGGACATGGCTAGATCGACTCGGCTAGTGAACCTGATCAAGAATATATACTTTATGGGGACGGAAACGCTTCCTTCTAGCTGTTACATACTTTTGAACGAATACAATACAGCCTTTTACTCTACAAGTAACGGGTATAACTAGTGACCCTCAACATACAAAAGTTGTGTTCTGACCGGTTTCCATAATGCTAATTTTCCAACATTTCTATTTTTACTTTCACTTTCACTAAAATAAAGTTCTTAAAAGAATCAAAATTTGAAGAGAATAATAATACCTTTCCATCGGCGTATCACTAGTTTTAATCTGACTATCGTAGTACATTTTCAATTCTGCGAATATACTTAGTAGTCCTTTGGCGCACACTCCCGGTGCGATTCGTACTACTTGGGTCGGCCGTCCACAGTGATCCCGTACTATGAACAATATGCTAAAAAAAATCCATTAAAGATGACTACTAGCAAATAAGTCTAGCAAGTTCTACTACAAACTTTGTTGGTTACGATAAAATTAAATAATAAAATATGTTTTATTTTATGAAGTAAATAATTTAAAAAAGTTGTATAAAAAAGACCGAAAAATCCCTTTGCAATAATAAAAAAGGAATTTAAAGGAGTTGGCAGCGCTATTTTATCCTAGTGTTGGAAAGTAACCAGGCATTGTCGGCAAAGAAGATCGAATTATGTGAACTCGTTTTAATTTTATGAATTTGGTGCCTTAAAGTCGATCGGAATTTGGCGAATCTAATATAACTTGAAAACATGGGAAAAAAGTCGAGAAAGGTATGATAAAAAGGGTGAATAAGATCGAGACTTCGTTCTTATAGATCGTAATGTTTCTGTGCCTATTGAAGAGCAGCCATTTTGCATGTGCCCGTGTAAAATATTACATTCTTTCAATTCGCCTAATTAAACTTTTTTTGTAAACTTGTTACTTGAAGAGGATTTATGTATGCATGTTACACAGAAATCACGCAGGGTTTCTTATCTGCATCAATATAGATTGTAATTTTAAATTTTTAACTGTATTTGGTTTTTTTTGATAAAAGTCCTAGTTTACAAAAAAAATGTAACAAATTCTTTTGTGGCGGATTGAGACGTATACAGGTTGATGAGCATACTAATTTATTTTTAATATTATTCTTTTATTTTTTAGAAGACCTACAAGGATTATTACTTAAAACAACGAGTAATCGAGTACAAGAAGAAAAAGCTGGCCCTTAAAGAAAGGATAAATACGCTTAAATTCGAAAAAGAGCTTTTAAAAATAGAGGAACAGCGGAGAGTTAGAAGTTTGTCATTCAGTTCATCGTCATCCCTAAGCTCCTCGTCGTCCAGCTGGAGTTCCAATAACACTTCAACATCCCGCTCCGCCTCCCCGGACCCAATTCCTGTCCATCATCAAAATGAGGATCCTGCCCGACTTTCTCTAAACTCTTCGCCAATCCCTGATATTGATCAGTACCCGGAAACTAGCCCTTCTGAGGTGAACGAATCAAAATACTGCGACAAATTAATAGCTTTCATGGAGTTGGCGGTCCAAATTAAAAATAATGAATGGAAGCTAAAGCCCTTGGTTCCAAAACAATGTCGTTTCTGTCGCAAAAAACATAAAACTTGGTCTGGCTTGTCGAATCACAGATGTGACTGGGAAAGTTGTGACCTTGGATGTTATTGTGGTTTCTTGGCCAATTCAGCCAAATCGTTTTATGGACACATGACATCTTGTACACTTAAAGCCAAAAATATGGAACGTAATATTAAACGGAAGAAAAGTACCTCGCCCGAAAAGGTATCTTCTCCAACAGGAAGTAATGTCAATCTGGACGCTAGTTATAAGATGGATACTGAATCGGGTGAGGAACTTGATTTTGAGGCCGTTATGTTAAATGACATGATAATCGAGGACGAAGAATCGGTGAATATAGATCACGACTCCAGCGGATTTCTGGTCGACATTGAACCGAATTCTCCATCGAAGTACGAGTGTGATTTTGAGGACAATGATGAGTAGAAGTACATTGTGATTGAGTTTCCGGATAACGATGCATAGGATTTTCATGCCACCGACTAAGATTTAATTTCCCTCTATACATTAATCAATTAAAAATTAAGGAAATTGGGCTATTTTCGCTTGTAATCCCCAAGCTTTATTTGATATTGAATATCAGTGTCTAGTTTCGTTTGAAGTCAACTCATAATAACAATATTTATAATTTATGTCTTTAATTTAATCATTTAATCATCCATACTCCATATGTCTATGACAAAACAATCTGAATTTCAAAAGCCCCAAAGCTGTAAGCCAATAAAACACTTTGTTATATTATTTTGACATTTTTTATTTCACATACATAAATAGTTTTGACATTTTAAAATTTCAGTTTTCGATTTACTTTTATTTTTCAACAACCAATAGAACTTAGATGCTAGGTAAGCATTTTGCAATTTGAGCAGAACCAGTTCCCTGAAGTGGAATACTAGTTATTATCGTCGATTTCTTGTGCCAGACAGAGCATATAATTCAGATGTGTGCTTTAGGACTAGACAGTTGGGTGTCAGATGTGTCGTTGCAGATGGTGGTCTGAACACCCTACCCCTTTCAGTTGACTAATGCTAGATAGTTGACTTAAAAAAACTGTTTCGCTTGCTGCTTGTACTCTTACCCAAAACGGCACAAAATACTCTGATAAGCGTCTCTCTGTTAAAATACATGTTTCGTAATAAAATGATTCCTTGTAGTTAAAATATACATATACATTTATGTATCATTATATGGTAAATTGTATTGTTTCAAAATTGAGTGTTGATCTTTGCACATTTAAGGCCTGTTGTTTACTTAGCTTAGGTTTGAGTTTGAGCTGGTGTGTTCCTTTTGAATTTGAGCAAGCTGTTCCATGTGAGCTGTGTTCCTTCGCTATTACCTATAAGCCCCCCGGATAATTCCTCTGAGTGCGCGAGTGGGTGTTAAGACTAGGTGTGTGGGGTGCGCCGTGCGCTATGATATACAAGATCGTTTGTTGAAACCAGACAAAACTGATGCCACCTCCGAACCCATCGTTATAGTAGACAGTTGATTACAATTATTAATGCACATGTACTTAAACTAAAACGTATCCTACGAATACAGATCAGGGCAGACAAGGCCAGACGCTGCTGCCGAACTGGCTTTCAACTTGCTTGCTTTCTGGACGGCTCTTCACTTCGATGCGGGGGCAGTCCAATACTCGAAAAGATCCAGTTAAAGCTTCCTTGGGCAGTCAGGTATTCCTTTTGAAAATCCAACAATACTTTGTTGTAATATAATTTATTTCTTCGTATTTAATTACGAATGTCCAAGAAAGCCTTTACTGGATATGAGTTCGGAATCTGCCTAAAACTATCCACTAAAATTTTGACTGACTACGCTGGGTGTGTGGTAACTTAGGGCTAAAAACTAGCACACGGATACGGTACAATTACGGATATACAACACGGTTCCACTAGTAAATGCAGAGCTGAATGACTGGTGACGACTGGTGACAGGGGCTGGGGGGTGCACACTGATGGGGACAACGATTACTGGTTAGATAAACACTACGAATACTCCGCTCAATGCCAGCCACTGCATCCACATCCGAATCTCGGGGCCTCATTCCTGCTTCAGTCGCTTGGCCTCGTTGCCCACGTCGCCTCCACTGCTGGCCGAGCTGGGCGTCGTCTGCTGCTCCGTGTCGCTGGTGATGTAGGCGAACTGGCACTCGAACTCAAAGTCCATGTCCTTTTTCTGCGCAAAAAAATGGGAAGGTATTTAAAAATAATCTAGCAACTAATAGGTTCTGTCTAATTACCATCCTTTCACAGATAACCGCAATGGCTGTTTTGTCCTGAGCCTCGGCAATCTTGTGCTCCACCAGGTAGAACATGTACTCATCGAACAGCAGGCGAATCAGATGGAAGCTGCCGAAACTAGAGGCGGATCGCAGGGTCAGGTCCCGGATGATCATCGAACTGTAGAAGCTCCACTTCAGCAGAAACTGCCGGGCGGCTCGGGCATATGTCGGCTTGCCGTTGTACTCCTCCATGGCCGACTCCACCACCAGTTGCAGCCAGCTGGCCCACTGCTCCAGGGAGCTCTGTTGCTGCAGTGCAGCTTTGAAGTCGTTCTCCAAACGCTGGACCACGGCGGGGGCACACTGACTCACCCAGGCGGCTTGTTCCTGAAATGGTTAATTAGTTTAGATCAAGAAGTATTTGGCAATAGTTTACTAAGGCACTAAGGTATATCACTCATACGCCATGTAGCTCTGTAAATAATATTCGCCAAGTGGTTGATGTAGACTTATATTCTACGCAGCTCATATTTTTTTTAAGTAATATAGTTGAATACTAAATTATTTGTAGTTAGTTTTATTTAAATATCCAAACAATAAATGATAAAACAGCTATTAAAATTATTTATTTCCCATCTCCCTCTATAAAGACCCATTAAACTCACCTGAACATTGTGGAAATCCACGCGATTGAGATCGCTGAGCATCTGGGATATCTGGGCACCATTCTGGAGCACAGCTCGAGCGGCCTGTGCCAGGTGATTCAGCGAGGTGTATCGCCGCAGCGTTTGGCAGAAGGCCGAGACTGCACTGGTCTTGATCTGGGCCAGCTGCTCGGGCACACCAAGCATGCTCTCGCACAGCCAGATCTCCAGGTTCTTGGCGAAGTTGCGGATGGCCTGGGTCAGGGCGTTTGGTATGGAGCGCAGCACATCCGGTATTATGACATCAACGGTGTTCTGGTAGAATTGATAGTCCACCTGTTCAAATGATCAACATAATTAATAAATTAATATAGTACATTTAATATAATATTTAATTAATATTTTTATCTTTACACCTCCAAGGACTCTTTACAGTTCAGATGGAATGTGACATGGAATCGAATTTTTCATACGAATTTCGAAATTTCAGATGGAATAGATTCCATTTTTCATTTCATGTTTTATTTCGAGTTTACCATTCAAATGGAATTTGGTCAAGAGGTGTTAAATAATAAAGTTTTAAGATATTTTTAAAGTATTTTAATATATTCTTAAAGTGTTTTTTTTTAATCTAATTTGTGTTGCCATTTAAGCTAAAGCATTTAAAATTTAAAAGGTTAAAAAGGAAACTATTAAAACTATCAAAACCAAAAAACATAAACTTCTGTGCTTAGTTGAGTAATTGGTTTTGTTTCTGAATAAAACCTGTAGAAGTTTTTAAAACCGGGAATAGACCAAGGAAGGGCTCCCGGGACCTGACTCCCGGCTATTGGCTACAAATCGGATACCACCCACCTCTCGCACGAACTTCTGCACTTCTGCGCAGTGGCACAACAGATACAGCTTCGTCTTGCTCAAGTACTTCTCCTCCTCGCACTCGTCCAGATTGTTGTTGTCGCTGGCCCGCCAGAAGTCACGGAGCAGGAACTCCACGGTGTTGAACTCCAGGTTGAGCACGGCATCCAGAAAGGACTCGCAGTGCTCACGGTACAGGGCCCGGAATGTGTCCACGTCCTCCAAAGTCAGTTCGCTGTTGAAACTGTGGTTCAGCTCGATGGCCGGAAACGAGGGCAGGGCACTAGTTCCATCGCCAATGTACTGGGAGTATAAAGGAAAAAATCAATCATCTACGCATTTCACTGATTTTAAATATGTGCTATGATTTAAATATTCCATTAATTTTATCACTGAATTTTAATTGCTTGCAATATTTTGAATAGGTACACTCGGAAATTATAGTTTCCTAATCAAAAATGAATATGTATTACATTTTTAAAATACTTTATACAGATCTAGATTTAAATTTAAATGTTTCTGAATCTATTTAAAAATGTATAACTCTTCCAATATTTGTAAGAAAACATTTTATAATTAACGAAGGACATAGTTTTGCTTATCCATCCTATCAAATGCATTCATTCCAATAAATCCATTACATAAATTTTTTTATGCTCAATTAAACTCTAAAATCTATAACTTTAACTGATTTTATCACTGAACTTTGAATAATATAATATATAATATATAATAATAATAATATATAATAATAACTTTGAATAATTAAAAATGGATAATTGCTAGCAATATTTTGAATAGGTATACTCGGAAATTATAGTTTTCCTAATCAAAAATGAATAGGGAGTATGTACTTTAATTGCCTTCAATTTATTAAATTTTTTAAATATTTTATCCAAATCTAGATTTAAGATTCTGTATCTATTTAAAACGTGGACCTCTCTTTAAGTTCAGTTCTTCCTATCTATCCTATCGGATGCATGCATTTTTTAAATTTATTATAGGTATTCATTTAGTTTTTAATCTCAAAACTCTGATCACTTTAACTGCAGCATTAAAAATATTTTTTAAAAATAATAATAGTTGATCCCTACCTGAATGCAGGCCTCGTAGGTTTCCGGTTTGAAGGTGTGCTTCTTGGTGCCGCCGCTGTGCCGATGACCCTGGCCACCGCCCAGTCCATTGGAGCCCGCCATTTGGCCGGCGGTGCTGCTGGTTACGCTGACCATGGGTCCACTGCCAGGACCGCCGGATCCGGATCCATCCGCCGACGGACCATAGCCGGCGGCCAGCATCTGCTTGTCGTCCATCGACTGGCTGTTCAGCAGCGAACCGGGCTTGATGCGGATGCCATAGTAATGGTACTTGGAGTTGCCGCGTGTGCCCAGGCGACGTGTGCGCAGTCCGGAGAACACGGAACGTATCAGCTTGCCGAAGCTGGCCGCATTCACCGGCTCCAGCTTGTGCTCGCTGCAGTGCTGCATGTAATGGTTGTACAGCGTGCTCCTGGGCAGGCTCACCCCGTCCGCCGTTTCGTAGTTGCGCGACAGCCACTTGATCTGAAAGAGAGAGAAGCATATATATTGGGGGATGCTGGCGTAGCCATGGGGATGCACACTCACCGTTGCCGAGGCAATCTTGTTGCTGCTGCCGAGCGCACTCTGGTCGGAATCCGGGGAGGCGCCTCCGCCGCCCGTCCCCAGGCTGCCGCCGCTGGCCGAGTGCGTTGTGGTCGTCGAGGTGGGCGTCTGGGGCGTGCTCTGCGCCTCCTGGATGTACGCGACCTCCTGCACCCAGTGGCGATTAGTTCCGTTCACCCGGTCCGCATCCCGCTCCCAATCCCTGCTACTCACCGTCAGGCTGTGCGGCGAATCGCGTCCGTGCGACTGCGACTGTGACTGCGACTGCGACAGCGAGTGTGCGGAGCCGTTGAGCAGGATGCCCTCCTCCACGGGCACCAGGTACGGCAGCGTCGTGGAGTGGGCCCCGTTCGAGGAGCCGCCGGCCGACGAGGTGGCTCCGTACTGACCCGTGGTCGAGTAGTAGGCCGTCTGCCCGTTGCCCTGGTAATCCCCCACCGGGCAGAACGGATAGGTCCTGAAATTGGCAACACGGGGTAGCGGTGAGTAAAAGGTCGATTTCCGGGTATTTATCCATTTATCGGGCCACTTACATTTGCGTCTGGCTGGAGTTGCTGTGGTACAGCTCCGAGTCCACATATTGCACTTGGTAGTTTTGCTCCTGGCCCGAAACTGAAAGAGGATAGAATCGATAATTAATTGATGTGCAAGTGTTTTAGATAAACAAGAGTGTAAACTTAAAATTTCATCGTATGCACCCAAAAAAGATCAATTTTACATTACTTAAGATCAATTTTAATTTGATATGTGGCCAGGTAAATTAGACCTGGTCGATATGAAATTTACATGAAAATTTACATGGCCATATCGATTTTACGGGAACATGTTTTTTTTTGTGTGTGGTATAAGTAAACCATTTAAAGATCGTCAAATACATTTTCGTCGCAAAAGTTGATATCAGATCAGGTGCGATCGTCACTAGTTTTGTACTACCTCGTTAAAAGGTGATTTAATTTCTATGTTTTTTTACAGGCTTTTACTATAATTATATATTAACTGAATATGTGGAAAGAAAGCCGCCGGTAATATTAAGTAACATAAATAATCCCGGCGGAAAAACATCGGGAAATTAATCTTTGAAGCAATTTCAAAAATAATTTTTCCAATATTTTTCCATTACAAAAATGGTGTAACATCTTATTATAAAAATGTGTAAGGGATAGTTTAGAACATCTTTAAATTCCGTTTAGAGTCAAGGCCTAGAAACTTTTAGCAAACCAAATCAATTGGGTTGTAATAACATTTTTAGGGCCGTTTTCTCGTCCGTTTTTTAAGTTTGTAGTAGGGTTAAAACCTTGAAATCGTATGGAAAATCATTGTTTAACCCTACTTTAAATTTAACAAACGGACAAGAAAACGGGCCTTAGTATGGAGAAAATGTTTTAAAACCCCTCCACGGTTGCTACAGGAAAGCTTCCACTCATTGAACAAAGTTTATTCAATTGAACCGCAAACTTTGAACACAACGATATAATGGCAAATACTCTTGATTTAATCAACAGTCTCAAGTCGTCCATCTGTCTATTCACTTCATTCAATTGGCCCAAATGGGCGAGGACACTTGACACTTTCCTTGCCACACACAATTACACTGAACACGAACACAAATATTTCCTGGCGAACAGGTGCTTCAGGTACGGTATTCAAAGTTCTAAAGTTTGAACAGAAATCGATTGGTTTCGAAGGAGGAGAAGAGGCAGATATTTACCACCGCAGTAGGACAAATTGTTGTGGCGTCGATGGTGATGATGGTACATGGTGGTGCTGGAGGATCCACCCGAAATGTTGCTTGCGGCGGCACAAGAGGAGTTTGCCGCTGAGGATCCACCTGTTCCCGATCCCGAACCCGAACCCGAACCCGTTCTCGATCCCAATCCGATTCCCGAGCAGTTGGTGTAGCTAGTTGCACTGGCGCTGGCCACAAAGGTCTGATGATGGTGGTGATGATGATGGTGGTGCAGCTGCAACTGAAGCTGGGCGGGCGGCGGTGGTGCTGGGACGGGATTGCTGGCCACGGATTGCTTGCAGCGGCACTTCTCCAGGAGATTCGAGTAGGCCACGGCAGCAGCGGTGGTTGGACTGATCACTGGTGGCGACTGCAACGGCGTGGATGTGGGGTGGTGGTGCGCCTGCTGCTGCTGTTGGTGGTGCTGGAGCTGCTGCTGCTGTTGGTGGTGATGGTGGTGGCGCGTCTGGCAGTCAAAGCCGTACCGCGAATGCATTCGTTTGGCCGGAAGTGGAGCGTAGGCTGCTGAAATTGGTGGTCCCTATTCCGGGTGGAAAGTCTCAGCGGTTCTCAGATGATCACGGATATAGTTTGTTCCACTACTTTAAGCTTGAGTTGTTTCAGAAAATTCTCACTTGATTCTGCAAGCCAAAACATGTCTGTGTGTTGAATAAAGTCCTTTGTGATCTCAGTTATAGTATATCAATATATAGATCCTTTGACATAAATGTAGTTCATAAATTCAGGAACTAACTCAGATAGGAATTTTCAACATAGTTTTAATCCAAGGATTGAAATAAAAGTATTCGTATCCAATTAAAAATCCAATGATAAGAAATCCAAATCCAATGATTTCAATAAATATGATCCAAAGCTACAACTTCTTAGATCGTGGAGCATAGTTTCGAAACGAGATCCACAGTTGCAAACCAATCCAATCGAATATGCAAATCAAAGGCGACAAAGTTTTGTGATGTAAGTGGAGAAGACACTCCGCTTGGTTGCTTCTGGCAACTGGCCAACTGGCTCAGAAAGCGAAAGTGAAATCCTTGACCAGGCAACCGGGCTCCATTCAGATTTCTCCTCTCACTGTGGGTGGTATTTCAGTGCTTGGTTTTCGGGCTTTTCTGCTTCGGTCCTAGGGTTGCGATGGCTGGCTGGATGGATGGATGCTGTGGATGGCGTGGAAACGGAGCAACCAGTGCCTGCGAACGGTAGAATTACAACTGAATCCAAAATCAAATGTTATCCTAGCAATATGCCTCCGAAAATAATGATGATGGCGAACTCACGACGACGGCGGCGCAGCAACGAATTAAATTACAACAACGGCGGCGGCTGCTGCCTCCTCTGCCTCCTCCGGCTCGGCGGTTGGGTGGTTGGGTGGTTGCCGGGTGGGTGGTTGCTATTATGATCCGTATGCCCGTATGCCCGTAGCGAGTAATCCAACCCAGACCCTCGAGGATGTTTTTTTCCTTTCCATTCCGTCCCTTTTCCTTCCCATCGCCCAATTTCAAGCGGTGTGCTGGCTAATTCCGGGCTCAAAGTCGCATTTTCTGGGATCTGCACAAGTGGTGGTCGAGATGGGAGGTTGGGATGCTGGATACGCGAGCGGGATGGCAACAGGACGACGGAGTCAAGGCAACGCCGCCTGGCCAATCCCACTCCTCACCGGTTGCTAGGCAGCCTCGCCGTCTCGCTCCCACCAACGCGGCCTCTCGCTCGCACACCCGCTCGACAACCCCTGGGATCAGGATGCTGAGGGATGTAGCCTGGCCAACCAAATCGCTTGCTGCCATCCCTTCGGCACTGGGCTGGAGATGTGGGAGTTTCCATGGCCGACGATGAAGTGACAAAGGTGTGGGTGGTGTTGGGGTGGTGATGGGGTGGTGATGGGGTGGGGCTGGGATGATTTACGGGTGGTTTTTCGAGTGGAGCAAAGAAAGCAGCCGGAATGGAATGCCATGCGTGGAATTTTTCCATATTCTCCTCCGTGGTCAGGCCAGTACTTCTCCTCTGAGGAATTTTTTTTGTTCCTGCAGCTTCCTCCTGGTCACCGCACGTTTCACATATTAATTTTGCTACCCTTCACCGATGTGTGTGTGTTTTTGGACCCTGAAGTTGCTGCGGTCAGAACTGCGGGCTATAAACCCCCTGACCCCAGAAATTTTCCCTTTGACACGCTGCTGCAAACTGTAAATATTAACAGGTGCCCCTTGGGGCAAACTCGGCAATTTGTGGACGTGAAGTGATGAGTGGCAACCAGGAGATGGGGGATTGGAATGGATTGGAAGGTGGCAATGGCAATTGTCCTTTAAAGTTGTCGGGGCTTAGGACGATTCTACTGTCGTGTACCGTACATGGGATCTTTTGAGGTTCTTTCAAGTGGACCGCATTCTCGCCAAAACATTTTGACTCTCAATGACTTTGGTTTCAGCGCAAAATCTGTTTTGCTTTGGTAATTGCCTTTGGAATGGTCACAGATTGAACCTTTAACAGATTTAAGATGAAGGAAATCAGATCAACTGGATATTGGAAGATTTTTAATGGAAGGAAGCAGAAAAAGGTTAGACTTTATGGGGAATATGGGTAATAAATCCCCCCACTCGGGTAAAAAGAAAAGAAAAATGTGACATTCAAAAAGTATGCAACAAAAAATTTGTTGCTACTTACAAAATGTTTAAAACTAATTTAGTTAGCAGAACAATTCAATTAAGTTGAAGATTTTTTAGCAGATGAAAAATTGTTAAATCCTTGTAAATATCTTCTTATATAAATCTATGGGACTTTATATTCATAACATACCAATTCAGTCAGGAGCTATACGAATTCCAGTTAGCAGAACAATAAAATTAAGTTGCAGATATTTTTAGCAGATGAAAAATCGTTAAATCTTTGTAAATATTTTTTAAAAAATCTCTGGGACTTCATATTTATAACAAACCAATTTAGTCAGGCATTATACAAATTCTAGTTATCTACCCAACTAAATTTTAGAACCCTATTCACATAATTTTAACGAAAAGAATCAATATTTCTATTGACCTTATTGTACCCATTGTCTGTGCAAAGTTAATCTCAAGTTAAGATCAATCTGCCGACCAATAATGAATGAAAAGTTGAACAACCACGATGCAGCAGTCTCATGAAAGGTCTTTCCAATATTTTGGGTTCAAAAGGTTTATTGCAATATCCACTTTGGTGCGCCACTTGTCCAAATTCCCAGCTCCACTCCACAGGGGCAACATGGGAGCTAAGTTGAGCACAAATTGCCAGGATTGCGATAACAGACAAGTGAAGGATAAAATGAGGGGGGAGCGCAGCTGGCTTATCCTGCATCTACTACAACGTCAACAAACAATTAACCTTTTTGTGAGCCGGACACAGGCAGGGGATGAGCTTCAACGGGATGGGATTGGGTCAGAGGTGAGTCCTTTGTAGAGCTTCACTTGCTGTGATTTCCACAGCAAGATAGCATTTTGCGAGAATTATGAACTCGCCTTTGACGAATAAATTTCTGCGATTATCTTGATTGCCAGCGAGTACAAATAACTTTTTGTTGGCACAATTAAAAGAAGCCCGACATATGCCAGTGTTCCCTAACTAACCTGGCAGGCAGGAACGCAGGAGCTTGGCAACCACCACCCACATCCTGGTCCACCTAGCCATTCCGGCCATCATCCCGACCAACCACTTCAACTGGTATGGATTCCCGCGTTGGATATTTCTATTTTTAGTTGCTGGCGTTATTAAATGTTAAGCTCGTCGTCTTCTGCCTCGTCGATTCGATGAGCACCCAGCAAATCCGTATCAATTGAAAAGTACAATACAACATATTCGAGAAAGGTGAAATATGACGTGGGCATGCTTTTCCCCCACTCCCAGCCATCGCTGATAAACACCCACAACCGGAACGAAGCTCTAATACCCTTCCGCACAACATATGAAAGAGATTCCGCATCAATTTTGATTGGGAATCAGAGTGCACTGGGAGAAAATTACTTTGGAATATTAAAAGAAATGGTATATTAGAGACTCGCAATGGTAATGATATTTTTTGGAGATTTCGGTTTTAAGTTTCATCTGAACTACAACTGGGATAGCTTTACTGCGTTAAGAGAAGAAAATTCATTTTTTTAAAGATATAGGATCATCTATAAGCAATGAAATTTAAAAAAGTTTTGGGCTAATGTTTATGTTGCTTACAATTTAATTTAAATAATTTAATTTGTACTTTTAGTAAAGGGAATATAAGTAAAATAATTTAACAATTAATATTAAGTTTAATTGAAATGTAGATCTAGAAAATTCCACTATTTTTTTTACAGGAATATCAATCAATTTTCCTATGATTTTAAAAATATTTTAAAGATAATAATCTAGAAAATGACCGTATACTTTTTAGAGGAATATAAATCAACTGTCCTATGATTTTAAAAATATGTTAAATATTAAAATCTAGAAAATTCCCGTATTTTTTTAGAGGAATATAAATCAACTGTCCTATAATTTTATTAAATATTTTAAAGATTAAAATAAAAGTATTGTTTTAGTTTTAAAAACAAAAACAGTTCAATTATTATGGTATTTTTTCAGTGATGGAGCTCGAGAGGTATTCTACAAGGACGAAAGTATTAGTTGACAGCGGGCGGTTATTAGCGAGTCGTCGACTCATCCACGTGAGCACTAAGCACCACCCCCACCCATTGTGCGGCCCCCCTCCTCCCAAGGATCAGGATCACGCATCACCGTGTGAAGCCCTCTCAATTTGTTGTGATTACCCGAAGTTGCCATCCGGATGTTTACCCCCTGCGTGTCCTGGTGGTGGTAATTTGTGCTAATAAAATCAAGTACGATGGCAAACATTCATCCGAATGCGACCCTTTTCGATGTCCGATTTTGTTATAGATATGTAGTTCCGCGGCGAAGTGTAATCTCGATTAATTCATTGTGCGGCGCTCGAGTGGATGATAATAATTATGTGTGCGCCGGGTAGATCCGAGTACGAATGTATCACTCCCAGTGTGTCGTCCAACTCAATCCCAGCTGCACTTTGCCTCTTTGTTGCTTTTTGTTTTGCACGTGGCTCGGACGGATCCGTGTCGTGTGTCCCTGGACAGGTAGTATCTCTATCCTCCGCGGGGTGTGTGTGCTATCCATCCATCTGCCTAACCACCCGACCATCGGAACAACCAACCATCCATTTATTCACTCATTCTTGTACCACCGCTCGTTTCGTTTTTCAAATTAAGTCGCTTTAATTGTGATATCAGGCAAACGTTTAAAATACGCCGGATTTTAAGCTGGTCCTTGTTTCCAGCTCAACTCCTCCCCTCCCCTCCTATCTTCCCCTTCCCCAGGGACATGTTGATCCTGTCATTATGTTTGTTTACAAAGCCGCGACTTTTGCTGTTTGTTGTTTCCCGTTTGCTGGTTTTCGCTTTGATATCCGCCCACTGCAAGTGCCTCCCTTTGGATTCAGAAGTTTCTGTTTCGGCTCAGGACTTTACGAAAGTGGGGTTTTCCGCTCTCAACTGGAATAAATCGGCAACGCACGTTTTTTATGCGGCTTTGCAGTTTTTGCGCTTATTAACAAAGTGCCATTGCGATTGATATTTATCCATCAGATTTCGCACATATTTCAATAAGCGAATATCTGTAGTAAGTAGAGCTGCGAAAAAATCCATTCTCAGCGAATCAGTTCTTTTCGATCTTTTAAGACATAAAATCGATTTAGTCGGTTAATAACTCGATTTTCCTTTTAAATTAATTTCGAAAAACTAAAAAATCAATTATTTAGGATAGTAAAACCACACTTGTCGGTTGACGATTCTTTCAAAACGACAAAGACAAAGAATCACGGTACTTTAAAATCTGATAATTTAGGTATTTCCACTTCAAATAAATAGAAATTCTTTTAAGGTCTGGTCGAAACATTTAGAGATACTACCTAATAATTTTATATCGAAAAAAAAAACATTTATAGTATTATTGTAAACTGAAAATTAAGCATTTTTTGTATTTTTTAAGGTCAAAGCAAAGACTTTAAATGTTTTCAGTTAGGAATGGTATGCTTTAGGGATTCAATATTTAAACTAACTCTCAATGTAAATAACAGAAATTTCCAATTTGCATATATTCAAAATTTTAAGCTGGACTTTATGTTGAGATATCTAAATGGGAGACTTTTTCATTCTATCCCCAATAACTTCTATCCCGAGACTCACCCGTCACAGTGATGAATGGCGTTCCATCATCGTCCTCGGTGGCCTGGACCACGGTCACCTGTCCACTGGCCACCTGCTGGGCCAGATCCACGCCATCCTTGATGGCTGCCAGGTCGGCCATGCTGTGGATGGGTATCGAGTGGGTCACGGTGGTGCCGTTGGGCTCCGTGGTGGTAATGGTGCCGATGGTGTCGCTGCTGCTGTTCACCACATGCCCATGCAGGTGGGCCTCGCTGCTCGAGTCGTCGGCATCCATGGGCAGGACGACGCGGATCACCTCCAGCTGATCGGCTCCCGTTGTTCCCGCTCCCGTGGAGTCGTCGTCGTCCTCTAGTTTCTTCTGCAAGAGCTGGCAGTTCTGCAAAAAGGGGAGAAGTTTTACCTGTTTATCAAGGAAGGATGATAAGGTAAGGTATTTGTTTATTTTAAAAAAGTGTTTCTTGATGAATCAATGGAGTTTCCAGTTAGTCAAGTCTATTAAATATTATTGTTAAAATATATTGTTAATATCATGTTGAAATGGCCAAGTAGATATTATAGTTAAGAACCACTTTAGCTCTTATGATTAAAAATGGTTATTGTTTCCTAAGTTTAATCTAATAGTTTAAGGCCCGTTTTCTTGTCCTTTTGTTAAATTTAAAGTAGGGATATTAATAATTTCCCATACGATTTCAAGGATTTAACCGTACTTTAAATTTAGCAAACGGACGAGAAAACGGCCCTAAGTAAAATAAATAATATCTTAAAAATGTATTTATGACATGATAGGTACACAGAGAAAAAAAAAACCAAAAATAATCATCCATCGGGTATTTTTTCATATCAATTTCGGCCCATCTGTTTTCATATCAAAATTATATTTCCGAACATATGATTTTGTACCATATTGATATGAAATTATACCATTTTGTTATGGAAAAATTGATATGAAACAATATCAGTTCCATATTGTTTCGTTTTTTTCTCTGTGTACAAAAAGGGTTTCATTCTCATACAATATCATTATTTTAAGAACATTTATTCCTCATTAAATTCTAGATGCACCCACCTGTGTCATGACATCCTCCAGGGTTGCCGAGACCACGACTCCATCCTCGGTGCAGAACTCAAACTGCTCGGCATGCGGTGGCGAGGTGGTGCTATTGGTGGTGCTGGCCGCAACGGTTCCGCTGGTGGCGCTCTCCACCTCGACGGTCAGCTGCTGCTCCTCCGCTGAGTCCTCCTCCGGGGCCGAGGTGGCATCCGTGATGGCGGAGCGCGTCGAGATGATGAACTGGCGCTGCGGGGCGAGGCGTGTGGTCATTGGTTTGGGATTCGGGGTTCTCTACTCCACAAAGTTGATTATCCAGGGCGATAATGGCGATAAATTCGTTGACTAGTAAGCTCGTTTAATGTCGATTTTATTTATTATTTTCCAAGATTTAAGGCAATGGCGGTGTTTAGGTTTAGTTCTTCAGCTTCTTTGTGTTTCTCCCGGTGGATGCTGTAAGGAAAAAAGTGAGAAATGGCAAATTTAACAAGGCATGTCGTCAATCAAAGAGCAGGTATTCAATAAGGAATCAACATCATCATCAGCATCATCCACCCAACCGCCCACTGCGGCACCTTCCCCATCCCAAGAATCCGGATCCTTTGTTGCCCCGTGGTGGTGGCTTGTGCTGCTTCCGCTGGGGCGTTGCTATGAAATTAAACTTTTCGCAGGTATTTCTTCATACTTTGATTTCCCCATCGCTTTGTTCTCCACGCAGCAGGAACAGCAGCGGCACAAGAATACATATCTCAATGTGTATAAATATAAATAAGTGGATACATATATACGGATGTCTATTGTGTACAATATCGTATTTTTTTCGGGCGGCCATTTTGGTTTCCTTCCCATTGCCGCGGCATCTTTGGGCAAGATTCTTTCGTTCGAGTACAGCACACATTTGGGGGCAATGCTAGGGGATTTCTTGTTGTTGGGGAATCACATTAGCACATTGGCGTAGTAGAAACTACTAGTTACAGGGGCTTACAATAGCAATTTTCTGACTAGAACTTTAAAGAATTATAATTATAAATATCTATCTTAAAGAGTAAAAAACAAGGACCGAAAATAACTGTTATTGTAAATTTTTCTTACCAAAAATATCATGCACTTAGAAGAGCCCAAACATTTTTTTAAATACACCATTATTTTTGTTAGCGATTGTAGTTTACAAATCCGTAATGATTTTTATTTATTTGATTTTTATAATAAATGTCAAAAATAACTGTTATTTGTTGATTTTTATGAATAACAGTTATTCCTTTGACATTTAAAGAAAAATTAAAAAATTAAAAAAAAAAACCAACGGTGTTTTATTAATATTGCCATAAATCAAGTTTAATTTTATTTTTGATCACGACAAATAACGTTTATTTGTCAAATTTTATTATAAAACTCAAAAAATAACAGTTATTCTTTGAGTTTTACTTTACGAATCAGAAAATAACTGTTAAAATGTGATTTTTAACATAAAACTCATAACAGTTAGGGTCCCTGGTAAAAAAGGATAGCCTAATCGTTTTGTATTTTTACCTTAAAAGGAAGAAAAAGAACCTACATTTTAAAAATTAAAACATTTAATTCAAAAATGAATTAAACTATCAGACTAACTCAAACTTTCATTAATTACATTTAAACTTTATTGATTAAATCCTCTATTATATAACACCTCCACTCCACTAAAGTAATTATCCTTAGTGACTGCCTTTGGGCAAGTGTTGGCCACATTTACTGTACTTACATAATCCCACACCAAGAGAATCCATTTCTGGCTTTTGGCCTACGCCTCTGGCTGTGGCCAATTACATTAGGCAAATTGTAATTGTTCAAAACGAAAATACGAGAGCGAATCAATCAAAGGAAAACACATTTCTCAAAGGCAATTCCATCGTTAATAAATAACAAGCTTGTTTTTTTAGCAGAGATTTTCCTTGCGCACTTTCCAGTTGAATTTCATATTATTATATAAATTTTTATTTTTTAATTTTCGACTGTTTTTTTATGTAAACAGTTTAAAAAGTTTGAAATGTTGCTTTAATGTTACTTTTTATGAAAACAGTTTGAGGTACATTTTAATGTAATTTACGGTGTTTTTAATATAGTTTAAAAGGTTTGAAATTTTGCTTTAATGATACTTGATAATTTTCATAATTTCAGTTGAACATTTTTAATTTGAATTATTTTATAACTTCCGTTTAAATAGTTGGTATAAATTTATAAACTTTCATGTAAATACGTTCAGTTTTCCGTTTTTAAAAGACCTTTGAATTTATTTTAAAATCGTCTTAAATCATTTAATGTTAGTTGTTTAAATTTATATTATTTATTGCATATTATTTTCCTCTTTTTTTTGCACTGGTTCAAATTTACGTTGTATTTACAATTAGTCAGTCTGATTTAGAGCTTCTAATTTTCACACTCGGTGCGCTTTTCCTGCCACTTTTGCACCTGCCACATGCACTTGTTCACAGGGCAACCGGCTCAAAGTAAATAAGTTCTGGAGAAGGCGCCGCTGGCGACGTCAACGTCCATCCCGAAAAAGGGGAATCGAACTTTTGGTAGTTGGGGGTTTTGGGTTATAAACAGGGGATCCCCCATTTTGAAAGCGCGGACAGGACAAACGACCCGGCATACGTCACTTGGTCTGGAGTCGTCGAGACCTCGCGTTCGAAGTTGTTGTTTATAAACAATAAACGAAGTCGGGAGTTCCTGGGGGAGATTCCCCGGAGTGGGTGGATGTGTATGGCTAATGCGTTGCCCCCAGACGGAAGTGCACTGGGTTCCCGAGTTCCTCGATTCCTCAATTCCTCGATACCTCAGTACACAAATCAAGCGGCGCGCTAAGCGAGCTCATAAATTTGACGCGTGAAAAGTGCAGCTCACTGGCTTTCCAGGGGAAGTTTTCCCAGTCACGACACCCACACTATAACCACTGTTTACACCTGTGCAGTTGTACAGCAGTTCACCTGTACAGTACACCCACACACCGCGAATAAATCACTAAGGACGCGCAACGCCAAATTATTGATCAAATAAAATCGGGATATTATTCTCGTTTGCCAGAGAGAACTCTGTTTTTCTCTCCTCGTATTTTCCATATATGATTGGGGATTTACCGTGCATATATATAAATATATATATGTATTCAGATATACAGATATCTGGTGGCTGCTATAGTTATTGCTGCTGCGGTCTGTTTACTTCGAGCGTGAATATGCAACTACGGCGGGGAAAAGTCTTTGGCCAGCTGAACAGCAGCACTAACGAAAAACACAAACTGAAAACAACCAACACTCTGGCAATGACAATGGCCAAAAGGGGTTGATAGTTTGGTAATAGGGAATTGGAATTGGTCAAAATGCACTCGGTGTTTTTCGTGCTTTTGTTGTTGCTGCTCCTGCAACACACAACCTGCAGTAAATTGCTGTTGGCAGAGCGAGAAGGAAACTCATTTGAATGCCATTTGAATTCGATGCATAATACAAAACAAGATAGGTTAACAAATACAGTCGAAACTCCTTAGGCTATCGTTTTATTAACTTGGTAATATCTACAATTCAACAGCTAACATTGCCTTCAATTGCTCTGAGACTTTTGCAGCTTTTTATTGAAGTAAAAAAAAAAAAAAAATATTCACCTATTAAGAATTTCTGATTGACTAGTAAACAATCAGCATCTTAAAATCCCGTGCTTAAAGAAGGAAAGGGTCGAAAATTCGGTTTTTTTTCTTAAGATCTTCGCCAAACTTCCAACTTTAATTTTTTTTAATTCCTTTCTTTAAGGCCTAAAATCAAAAATATTTTAGGAGAAAAAAAATTTGATAATTTTAAGATGATCCTGAAAAATGTTGTATTGCCACAAAAAGCTTATAATATCGTTAAAAATAATAAAAAAAACCCAAAAGTCCTTCTTCTTAAGCCAAAAACCCTATGTAACTCCTTTGGAAAATCAAATAAAAAATTTAAAAACTTAAAAAAAGTGCTGGAAATATTATACAAAAAATTGCAAAGTATAACTAATAAATTTTTTAAGATATAAGAGATCTTAAACATTAAAAGGGGTTAATAAGGAATATACATTTGTAAGTTTTTATAACTAAAATTATTATAATATTTTAAATGTTTGCTGTAGAAGTGCTTGCAATGGCACATGGTCAGTGAAAAAGAGACAGATAAATGTTCAAAACAAAATGTGTGGGGGTGGAAGAGTTGGAGTGGGTTCTGCACTTTCGGCTACCCCATGGCATTGACCCCTTTTTTAATGTCCAGCACCAGCACCACCACCTACCCCTAAGCGTCCTCCGCCGGCAGCTGCGTTGTTATAGGGACAACTTCCAAGTCCAGGGGCTCAAGGGATGGGAATGGGGTATGCAAAGTAAAAATACAGAAGCTCAGACAGCGTGACGCTTTCTTTTCTGCCTAATATTCATATTCACTTGATGGCTGCAGCAGGTAGGATAGATAGCATAGATAGAATAGAAAGGACATTTGGAGTACAGAAACATGTGTTCAGCGTCTAGGACTCGAATTTAGATGGTGCAGATGTGGAATGCACCTCACAGTTGGTTGATGTGGGCATCGACATGTTTATTTTTATATTTATGTCATGTTGGTTTCTAAACATTTTTCCGGAAATAGTGTGTAATCTTGTAACAATGGTTTTAATGAAAATGTTCCGGAAATAGATATAGTATATCTGTAACCAATGATTTGCGTAAAACATCATACAATAATAACAATTATTTACCTCTAAAATATATTACTGTTATTGGCTGATTTAAATTAGTTAAGCACTGCTGAAGATATAAAATAAAACACAGAGAAGAAGTTATTTTAAAAATCATTTTAGGTAACTTCTATCGCTGGGTCTTGAAAGTAATAGTTCTTTTTAGCAGATAACGAGCAAAAAAGTATAATATTTGATACTTTGACCGCGATTTTTTCAAAACTTGATAGAAAGTTTCCCATTTCTAGTTAGTAGTCTACACAAAAAATCCTTTAATGAGAGGCGCTTAGCTTTGGGACCTTTTTTACGACCACTGTAATTCCTAATTGGAAATTCAAAGCTCATCAAATATGCTTTTCACATTGTTTGCACCTTTTTTCGCCATTTCAATTTCGGTTAGAACCAATGGTAAAATTGACATTGACATTCATTAGAATGGACACTGCTCATCAAATGAAGATGATGGATGTAATGTGGCACTCGCTTGCTGGGCGTGTGGCATGCGTCCTGCCCCGCCCCCTGCGACCGCGTCCGTGTCCTTCTACCCCGCCCATTCCCTTCACCTTCCCACTCCATCACTTTTCGGGGAAGAAGACGCGGGCAGTGAAGCAGGACGAGTCGAGGCAGCAAAGCGGAAGTGCACAGGAGGTTGGAGTTTTTCCCGTACACTTCAGTAAATTTTTGGAGGAAAAATAGGTAATTTTATAAAGGTATTTTGAATTTTATAATTGCTTACATTTCTACAGATATTTAATTTAAATCATATTTAAATATCATTTTAAAAATGATACCTTTATTAATTAGAAAAAAAACTTATTTTTAGACTGCCTAGAAAAAATTAAAACAAATGTAAACAAAATATTTTTCATTTATAAAAGTTGTAAAAAAATATATTTTATATTCATTTTCGTTTTTTTGTACGAACCATGAAAGGTTGTAATAATTGAAAAGTTTTCAAACTATTTCGGTAATTGTATCAACTAATTATAAAAATTTTCAAGTGTACCGGGATTCCTGGTCTTACACCTGGCGCCAGGACTCGCTGTAATGTGCAACCGGCCATGGCACACTCCATATGGATATAGAACTTTGATGGAGAGGACCTCAGAGGGTGGGGGAGGGCTCAAGGATCAAGGATGGAGGTGGGGTTGGTGGTGAAATTGGGACTCGACTTAATTGTCTTTAAATGGCTGAGCGCCTCAGATGGGCGAAGGAAAACGCGCAAATGAAAATGCGGAAAAACCGCTGACTACCTGGCTGGTTGGGTAATTTTCTCATTTTCTCGTTCAATGAAAATTCGCTGGGTGAAAAATGAGAAAACTTCACCGGCTTTTGATCTTTCGATTTGATGTTGAAAAGTTTCTTTCTCCGTCATTTCGGTTTTTCGTTTGATTATAAGGAATTCTAGTGAGTGGGTGTATATGTATATATTTCCTTATATATACCAGAATCTAGAACTTACCATGGTGACTAGGGAGCTCGGCTCCTGGAACTCATTTCCAATATTTTGGCTTTTCAAAAACCTTTTCTAGGCAGGGGTTATCCAACTTTTTCTCTGCGGAGTTGTAGGAAATCCTGGCTTTTAGTGCAATTTTCCTAATCCTTGGGTTTTCCAACTGGATTACGACGTAGTAACGGGACCGGAAGGAAATGGCTAGTGTTTTGGGCTTTTTAGTTGCTAGGCAACAGAACAAAACAACAAACACATGGGAAAAACACGGCCACTGACATTTTTCGATATCCTTTCGCTGAATCCTCACATATCACATGACTAGCTGCAGAAGTGGCATTCTTTATTAACAATATCCTTTGTTTTCGGGTACATTTCGCACGTTCTAATTGGAAAAACAAAAAAAATAATAATTTGTTGCTGGCTGAAAACAGCTGACAGCAGTATTGGTTAATGGGCAAGGCTGGGTGGCAACGCCAACAGCTGATCGGCCAGTGTTGGTTAATTTTCGAAATGAGCCATTCACTGGGGAACGTTAACACTTAAAAAGGGCGCGCTGTTTGAATCTGGGGTTATTTCTCTTTTTGTGTTTCGTAAGAAACAACTTTCACAAATTGCATCTATACGCTGGGTATTTTTGCGCCTTGAAGCAAACGTGATCAATTTGCTGCGCATTGTTCGCTAATTAATTTGTTGCGAATTGCAATTTTAACACTTGTGATAATTAGCAAAGCAAGTACTATAATAATGACGGGAATGAAGCAATAAAATGGGCACCGCTTACGTCCGCTTGTTTACTATTTTTTCCAGTTTTTTCGCCCCGTCTCTTGTGCTTTGCTTTGCTTAATTAGCCAGGTAAGGCACTCAGGTGAGTGAAGTAAAGTGCACACGTGTTGCACATTAGCACAGCTCGCAGTCGGCTAGCCATAACCTGGAATTTATTGCAATGCCTTCGCAAACCCGTAGATCTGCTGCTGCAGTTGCGGATTGGGTTTGGTTTTATTTTACTTCTATTAAATTTATTTTTCCGTTTAGACCCAGTCATGCTGAATAATTGTGTGTCGCAAAATGATAGTTAGGTTGATTGTGGGTGAGTTAGGTAGTTTCTGTAGAATTTATTGCGGGTCAAGTCCGGTGCATTTCGCATCCAGGTCATTTGATTTTTATTCCTCACCATCTTGAATGGATTTCAAGAGAAGATTCCGAACTTCAGGCATTGAAAGAAATTTATGCGACTAAACAAGCTAAATTAAATAATAATTCCTTTTTTTATTTATATTAAATATTTACATTTAATATATAAGCATATTTGTTTCCTATGCTTTGGCAGGTTTACTTTATTATTTTAGTCAATAACAACATTCCATAGAAAAGATAATAACAAATAATTTTGCAGTCTAAGTATTCCGTGACAGGTGTGAAAATCCCGGTGTCTATCATTGAAAACGTGACATTAATACCCTTCCTTAGCGTAAAGTAGAACAACATTTGAATGTCTTTAATGATTTATTAAAGTGAAAATATTTTTAAATGGTGGATGAAACGAGGCTTAACAAAATTCCTCAAGCCTTCCTTGTTTGCAACTTGAATAGTGATCTAAATAAATATTTTTTGCCAAGTTGTTAGCTTAGTTTCAACATTAAGAAAAGAAATATGACTATTAACAGTTGTTGCCTCATTTGCAAATAAAAATGTGCCAATTTTCGAATGTGGCTGCTTAAATATAGAGATATTTTTCATTTGCATGTGAGTAAATCTCAAAATTATGAATGATAGCTTACGCTTGGCCAGACACATTTGTCATTCTCACATGTTACTCGAATTTTTTCGTAATATTTCATGAGTTAAGTGGTTTTAAATATTACACTTTTATATTGAAACGCGTGAAATATAGCTTTAAAATTGAATTTATTTTATTTGTATTTTGAGACTCTAATTTATTTAGCTAATATATCAATAAAAAGGAAAGGATTTCTTCTTATATTTATTAAAATACAAATTTTCTTTGTGTAAAAGGGGTATCTACGCGCAACCACAAGAACCTTTAGGTATGTATGATGTATAATATATGTATTTGGCAAGAAAGAGGGATCTTGGAGGAGACTACGAATGGAGACAAAGGTAGGCGGACAGCACGTTTGTTGCTCCTCTTACGTGGTTGACAATCGTTCACGTTTGCCCGGGGGTTACGATCCGAGAACTGCGTCAAAGTCAGCTTTCAATGGCAGTTTAGCCCGCCCACGTGAATACGTAACCATTTCGCAGATACATATTCAATGCACAGGGGCAAAATAGGAAATACAAGGGTATATTTCTCTGGGGGCAGCTGTTGCAAAATGTTTCTTCGTCGCCGTTTCTTGTCGCCCTGCGACCAAAGCGTTTGTTCTTGCCGGCTTATCAGCCACAGAGCGGCCTCCGTGGCGTATGCGTAACGTGCTAAGCCCCTGGGCGTTGCAACATCAGAAACAGAGGCAAACAGAAATGGCAGGGCATCAAAAACAGACACAGACTGCCCGGCGAGACATTGGCTTGTTCTGGTTCCGATTTGACATTTTGTGGCAATCCATAACGCGCCCATCCCCGACAACCTGAGATCCATTCGCAAAAAGCACGCAAATTCGATTAATGCAAATGCCATTACAGCCAGCAATTGTGCATATATATCTCCTCCATGAGCGCATATAATTAACGCCACTTCCTCCACGATTCCAAGTCCGACTTGAGAAACCAAACAAAACCACTAAAAACTCAGTTGAACTTCTACAGTTGCAAGTGGCAACACACAAAAGAATAAAAAAGGTTTTAAGGAATTTTGTAAAAACTTCTTAAAATATTTCTAAATGTAATAAAAAACTTGTTTACTGTATTTAAAGGAAAAGTTTAGTTAGTTAAATCGGCGGATTGACAATTTTTAAGCATGGGATAAATCTAAGATAATAATGGTTTTAAGATTACATAAAACAAAGTACCTACCAATTATTGAAACTATTAGGCATCAAATTATGAAATATATAGTTTTACCTCTAAGAACTGCGTTCGATTGAATCTGTCGATGAATTATTTTTTTTGGAAAGGAAATTCTACTTAAGGAAGTCCGCCTGTAGTACCAAAGTCCAGAGAGTTACAGGCGGCGTCACCTTGTCGCAGCAGTCGTCGTTTTTGTTGCCATCTCAGGCCCAATAGGAAATTCAAAACCCGCCTTGGCTTGATTTATCAACAGCAAACTCGACGACGGCAGCAGCAAAAACATTCACATGCAAAACGTGTAACAATTTGTTGGTTTTACATAAGAGGGCGCTGGGCAGAAATAGAACTCGTAACCGTAAGCGTAAACAAACGCGAAATCAATTAAAAGCAAATTAAATTCATCGAAAGCTGTCTGCCTAATAGGAAAAAATTCCACATGTGCGGTAAAATAATCCACAGATGTAACTTAGATGGCTGTAATTCTGGATACGGGCTGTTATTGTTCAATGTAAAATTATTATATTACAAATTGATATATTCATTCGAAAAATGTTTGATATTGCCTGGAATATGTTGACTTTGGGGCATACCAATCAGTTAGATAAAATTAGTAAATACTATAAATTACCCAGATCAATAAATAAATATAAACTTTATATTTAATCACATCTACGAGGAATTGTCAGCTAAATTAGAACTTCAAACACAGAGAAATATTACAAAATTAATATATTTTTTGTCCCAGATATCTTGGAAAATCATAGCTTTTATATCTATAAAATATATCTTATTTTATTTTCCCTCAAGTTATATATATTCTTCCAACGACTAATTAATGCAGGCACTGTACATGCATTTATTCCATGACTCTGCTGCTATTCATCTATAAACAAAAATATATAGTAGGTATACGTCTATGGAAAGCAATTTTTTATTTGTCCAGCTGCGGGCGCACGTGTCGTTGCCCCTGTCCCTGTATTCTGCGGCTTTTTATAAACATTTCTCGAGATTTCTAATCTACATAACAACAACATGCAGCAACACAGGCCACAATAACGAGATAGAAGTATCAGCAGCGCCAACAATCGCAATTTGTGTTCAAATATATTATAGCTCTCAGACCCGTTCCACTTGAATCTGCTGTTTCGGTTTAATTTCAGATTATTTTCGTTTTTATTTCTATTTTTATTGGGTTAGTTCACTCTTATCAGGGGTTTCTTTATTTTAGTTCGCTGTCATTTTATTGCTCTTGATTTCACCTCGACTTTGAAATTGAAATTTCGCAAGCTGATAAGGCAATATATTATAAGGTTTTATGAAGTTGATTTGGATTAGATACACATATCAATGGTGGGTTTATTTTCTGTGTTTTTTCCGCTATGTACATAGGTCGGCTTATTTCTGAATTTTTCACGCTCCATCTACATATCGCACACCCCTTTTCGATTAGCCCTTAGTTGGTCTGCTGATCGCACCAATGCCGTTCGCACCTGTCCTAATTGAAGGTGCAAATTGCATGAGTTGGTATGTGTTTCCTCACGATTATTTGTGCTAGTCATAAGCATTGGGATGCGTTACCCAAGCCACAGTGGAATAAGCATTTTAATTTCTTGTTCATTCAAATTTAACATAATAAATTAAATTGCATATTTACCATAATGTGTTTAAAATAAGAAACGACACTGTAACTTTGGAATTTAAATTATTAATGAAGTTTTATCAGTCTTTCTAATCAAACATTCGAATTATAGTTTTAAAAAATTTTGAAATTTAATTGTTTTCAGGTCAAATTAAAGGTAACCTTCTATCGATTCCATCGAAAGAATAGAAAAAACATTGTTTTTCTAATTTTGGAATTTGAGTAGTACCATGCTATACAAGCAATAATCTTCTTAATTCCTTTGTTTATTTTATTTCCACTTAAAATTCCATTCCATTTTATCCCAGTCCACTGTGGATTCTCCAGTTGATTGCTAACAAAACTTTAAAATAGTTTCACTGGGTTTGGCTGTTGCAATTGTTGTAGCTGTGGGGTTTTCCTTCAGCTTTCGTGATTAAACTTTAGCCATGCAACCGGGGTAAACAGAAATACCGACTGAGTGAGGTAGATAAGCTACTGGAAATGCACGAGAAAAAATTAAAACAATGCACAAGTCACACTATTTTAACTTCATTTTAGCTCTATTTACTTAATTATGAAAAATAAACTATTTCCACTCCCGCTCCGATTGCATTTTATTTCGTGGAAATTCACCGACCCACGTAACGATTTCGATTAACAACACGTGACCGTAGAAACGTCCGACCATGTGAGCGAGTAAAATGTATTACAAGACCGATAAGATTAGAGAGAGGGACGGGGTGGGGTGGGGGGTTGTTATTACGAGTTCATATGTGGCACATGAGTAACTCGAGCCCGTTTTTGTGTCTTTGCACGTGCCCTCCATCATGGCGTATGGGTAATTTCCGAACGGGGCGTATACGTAACGCCGTGCAAGGCGACACCAGATGCACGTGCCGCGGTGCAATTAAACCGAGAGATCGTCGAAATGCCGAAGCCAAAACAAAAACAAGCCCCGGTCTTATGCAAGCGGCCAATTGGACACGTTTAAGTCATTCCTCATTCGTCATCCGTCATCGCAGATCACGGATCCCAAATCACAGATTCGGTGCTTACGGAGTATAGAGTTCGGCTTACGGGGCCCGCGCCTTTGTGTTGGTGTGACCTTTGGGGCGGCTAAAAATAGCCAAGAGCCATTTAAATACAATCAACACGCTGGAAAGCCCAACACAAAGAGGCACAGTAAAAACTTCTTAGCTTGAACAGTGCTTAAAGTTAATATTATTTAATTATATTAAAATCGACCATTTTACTTTATTAACTTTGAAAGATTTAACAATTTGTTGATTAAAATACTGTTAATTAAAACAGTAAATAAATAAATTAGTCCAGTATAAGCCACAAACCATTATATTTTGTTTAAATTTTTTTGTATTACTATTGAATATTTATTTAAAGTGATAATATAATTAATATTTTAAATAAAAAAATTAATCAAATGAATTAATTATCATCGAAAAACATTTTAATTGAAATATTTTTAATTAACATAATAGTTCGAATTATGGAGTTCCAACTGTTTAAATCCGAATCAACTGCAAAACGCCAGCCACAGCGTTTTGTAAATGCGAAAACATTTCGACAACACGTGACCAACAACAAACTCGAGTGCTGCACTGGTGTGTGTGTAAATGTGCGAGCGTTTACATGTGGTTGTGTGTGTGCGAAATAGCTGACATGCTCGGCTCGCGTGAGAAATTACGTCATGCGCCACGAATTTTGAGTTGTTATTTATTATTATTTTTTTTTACTTTTTTTCGTGTTTGTGTTTGCCACTTTCAACGTGTCTCGATTAAAAACGAAAAGCGAGTGCAAAGAGAGGGGGGCCAACGTCGCGTATGATTATTATTTCGTTTATTAAAGCTCGACAGCGGCAACAACAACAACAGCAAGCGAAAAGCCGCGACTGTTGCGCTCTGTAATAAAAACAAAATGTCGGCCGAGCAGTGAGAGTGTGTGTGAGTGTTTGGCTTCGTGATTGTTGTTGCCAAGCGCGCGGTTATCAGCTTTTCTCTCTCTCTGTTTTTCTTTCTCTCTCTTTCGCAGCCGCCGCCCAGTTGACTTCGCCGTTTCTGTTTCGCTTTGGAATTTGTCACGTTTCACGTGTTTTATTATATGCCGCCGACTTTTGTTGTTGCTGCTCGCCTTGAGCTTCTGCGTCGTTGTTTTCTTCACATATTGTATACACATACATTGTTTTTTGTTTCAGGTTTTTTTTCTGTAACGGTAACTTTGAGGTTTACTCCCTCTCAAAAGTCGGAATTCGTACTTGAGAACATATGGTGCACTTAACCACAACAATCGGATCGGTCAACTAAATGCTTATAAATACATATATAATTCACACGCAACTAATTTATGCCTATCTTGCAACAACAATAATAGTGCTCTTGGTTGTGTAAGTGTCGTGAGTGTACGAGTACGAGTACGTGTTGTCTAGTCATCAAGCCCCCAAATGTCGGCGGCACAGTGGAGCTAATGGATCCAAGAACACAGTCGATCGGTATCCATCCAAAGAAATTTAACCAGTAAGTAAAACATAAGAGCCCTGGAAAGAAGGATTTTATCCATTTTAATAATGTGTTATGATAAGCCCCTACCAAAAATTCATAATTATTAAAGTAATGTGCTCGAACTCGGTTTCGTTTTAGATTTTTTAAAGGGGATTTCACAATGTGAAATCACATACTTTCTTTGCAATTATATAAATTTACGTCTTGAAGTAGGCTACAAATTTTAATGACAGCCATTTTCCGCCATATTTGTCAGTCGCCATTTTTGCAAGGTATTACCCTGAATGTAGGCTACATATTTTGTAAAATGGGTATTCCATAGAAACTAAGGTAAATTAAACTAAAAGTGGCTTATTCTTAACCATTTTCATTGAACATTTTTAGAAAACTTTATTTTCAAATGTATTCTTAAACACTTTGTTGCTTTTTATAATATTTTATACCTTTCCACCAACAGTTAACAAAAGCAAATAGGCAATCTGGCAAATTGGGCAATCGCAGGAATTCCCCTGAGCTAATCTCCCAGCGGAATTTTCGTGGCCATAAATCGAGCGGTTCAGTCCCACTGTGGCAATCACGTTCGCCGCGCACGAAACGCCTTATCTCCCTCTCTGGGGCCAACAACACAACACATGTTGCTCTCCATCGCGGGCCCCGCTCTTTTTGGGGTCTCGTGCTTATTCCGATTATACTATTCATTCACTTCGATTTTGTCTCTGGCCGCGAACGGACGTTTTGGATACTTTTCCGAGGTGCGGGTGACGTGACAGTGCAAAAATTAAATAAACCAACAAAAAAAGAGGAGAGAGCAAATAAAAAACAGCAAAATTAGCTGGAGGAGCAACAACAAATTTGATACCTATATACATACGTGCTTTAATAGTGAAACACGCACACGTACGCACGTTGCTCGCTCGCCTGTACATATATATGTATCCGAGTGTGTGTGTATATAGCGGCGGCTGGTAAAATTCCACTGTGAAACGAAAGGAAGTTATTGTTTTTGCGGCGCTGTGTGTGTATATATATTAATAAAACAAATAAAAGTGTGTGCACATAAAATTGATAAAAGCTTAAAACGTGTAAACAGAAATTAAACAAAAAACGGGCAGCGCAATCACGTTTTTCGACACTATTTGTTTTTCTTCATTGTTTTTTTGTGGATACCGCGAACGAGAGAGAGAAATGCTCCAACAAGTGCACTTTAATTGAAGCTCCAAAAATAGAAGTAAAAAATAAACAGGCGGAGAAGAAATACACGCGTTATCGCTATCGTTATCGCACTCGCACACACGTACCCAGTGATAAGCGGCAAAGAGTAAACAGGCGGTATACACTTATCAGCATTTTCCACTCGCTCCAACATAAATAAACAGCCCGCTTCGTAATGCCATTCTAAATTTCGAAAATAAATCCGGGACGTGCAACAAGAAAAAAAGTATCTAGAGACCATCTCGGCTTGGAAGAGAAAAGTAACTCGGCGCACAGCGAATTCGAATCGACAACCTGTTTGCTCGCCCATAAATTCGCCCCGGCATTTATCCCACAATTATTTCTGCACTGACGTAAGAAGGAGCACTTCCACCATTCCACCGCAACTGCAGCAAACCACGTCGACGCAGCAGCAGACGCAGCAGGCGCAGTTGCACTTGCAGCCCCACAAAACGGTCATTCTGCCCAGGAGCGGATCCGGTTGCCCGGTGCCAGCAGGAGGAGGAGGAGGAGTGCGGAGCGGATCGGGGAGAGGATCGAGGAGCAGGAGCCCCACCCCCAGCACCTCCATCATGGAGCCCTATTGGAACGAATCCAACGGCCACGCCGCCCATCCGGTCAAGTATGAGAGGTAGGTATATTCAGCACAGATCCCCAGATCCCGCTGCAAGTCAAAACAGAAAAAAACAAAGCCAAGACGATGACTAAATCGAACAACTCACTTTCACCTGCGCGCGTTAAGCTTAAGCACACAGAGAGAAAATATTACAAAATGTAACTAATTGGGTAATTAACAATGTCAATATCCAATATCACTACATCTTCTTCAAATTTCTTCAACTTGTTTTATAAATGCAATTAATAAATAGAAGTCAGTTTTAAAAGGGTATATCCCCCGAAATATTGCAGTTTAGTAAAGCTTTCTTTAAAACAAACTTACCCGAACTTTGAATAAAACCAATAAATCTCCATGATTTTGTAATACTTTTTCTCTGTGAATTAATTAATGGTTTAGTGTATCTTAGTCTTGCATTTAGTGGTTAAGCCTAAGTCTCCGCCTTCTCTATATCTTCTTATCGTATGTGCGTGCATGTCAGGATCGGTTGTGGACCATTTCGATCTGTTTTGGGTTGTGTGGGCCGCGTATTTTTAGCCATCGAGCTAGAAAGCAATTTGCATTTGCAAAACAAACGCGAAAATCGGGCGAAGAAAACGTGGGCAGACTCTGTCGCCGGGCTATTCTTGGCCGAGATGGGTGCTTTAGTTTTGCTTTATTTCATCTTTATTTTTTTTCGTGTTTGCCAAAAGGCAAAACACAAAACAAAATCCAACGCACGACTCGCCAAACGTGATGTTTCGTTGAGGTTTCCCTGTGAGTCTCTCCCCCTTTCCATTGAGTTTTTATTTTTGAACTTGAATTTCGTTTAAACGTGTCCGAGTGGAAACGAAACAAATTTTGCTTTGGTGTGGCCAGATAAATAATCCAAACCAATTGGTGTGGCCAGCGCTGCGGATAAATAATATAATCACAGTGCTTAGGGGCCTTCTGGCTGTCTGCTAAATGTCAACGGCCAAAACGTGGCTATAAATATCAGTTAACAACAGCGTGGGTCTATATTCCCCCACCAACTCCACTGATTGCCCATAGAGTAGGTGGAATGGGGTGCTTTTCACGTGCTTGGGTGGCTTTTCTAGCTTGTGGGTGGCCCGTGTCCTTTTGAAGGTCAACAAATTTTGTGTGTTCGCTCATGTTTCTGTTGGTTCTGTGGCTGTTTTTCTTTGATTGAGCTTTGTATTTGGCTATTTTGGTATTCAGTGACCACCACCGGCGCTCCTGGGAACGTTTTCCTCTATAAATACACAAGGGCTAATCGAATGAACCGCTCATCAAATATGCAGGTCCCCAATTTGATTGGCCTTAGGTTTTGTTTTCATTTCGTTTTCGGGTTTTTTCCAGTTTGTTTTTGGATTTGAGTTTTGTTTTTGGTATGGGGGGAAAGTTACCCATGGCGTATGAATACATAGATATGATTACGTATACGTCACGTGTGCCGCTTAATTATACGTCTAGCCGAGCTAATTAGCCGAAAAAAAAGCATTAGTGACCCGAAGTGGTTAAACATATATTTTAATCTTTGCACGCGGGATCAGCTCATGGAAAAAAATAATCAAAATAAATATTATAAATTCGGTTTGCCCCTGCGGTGGACTCCTTATCAAAATGGCACTCGGGGTAAACACGCGTCTTCGTCTTCGTCGCTGCTGAAGTGTTTATAATTTGCATTACGCGCTGCCATCTTAATCAACACCAAAGTCAGTCATAAAAGAAAAAAATAGCAGAGAGAAAACACAAATAGAGATAAGCAAACATGCGATAAAAAGCGAAACGGGCGTGACGCACAAATCGCCCCTCCAAAACGAAAAGTATCTATCTATCTATAAGCACATGTGTATCTATATCTATCAAGTGTCCAGAGTTGTCAAGCGTCAGTGAGATCTCGGGTTTGTTGCACGACGAGACAGTTGCTAAAGCCCCCACAAGAAAACAAAAACTACACCCACAACCCCATTTAATACTCAGCTGTCTCTCGTTGTTTTCGATTTCGGGATCTTGACAACGACGCCATCGATTTGATGTGAAGACCCTGACCCAGTGATTAGTGATATTTACAGCTCAACATCCCATGGAAACTTTATCTGAAGCAGCATGAGATCTCTGAAAAAGTGTGTTTGTTTGCTGGCTACGTCTGTGTTACACGGATCCGAAATGGATTTCCTGTAGACTTGGCAAATCACAGATGTTCAGCAAGACAACACGTCAAAAAAATCAACAGGATATGCAAGGATTAGAAGTGGAACTACAAAATACGATTGAAAAAGAATAAATAACAAATCTATATAAGTGATATAAATGTTTTGGCTCGATTCTTTCTTAATTCGTAAATAATAATGTTGGTAAATGTTTTATCAATAATTTGGAATTTTGAAAACCTGTTTTATTATTGCTTTGGCCAAAGCGTATTGTATGAAATATAATATTTACTAATTAATGGTGAAAATTCCATATGAACACAGTTGTTTTTAATTTATTCACTCTTTCGATCGTGTTTATCACCAAAACAAATAACAAACGCATGCAGCTCGCTAAAAATAGCAGACCGGAGTGTTATAAATTATATGGACAGATATATATCCGCCTGCGTCGAAAATGTTGGCGATCCTACCCGATCTCGATCCGATACGATCCGATTCGCATCGATCCGTTTCGTTCCGCCGCCGGTCTTATCGTATGGTCGTCGTCATCATCATCATCGTCCGCTCGGTTCGACGTCCATTGGCATTTGAGAAGCGGGCACGTAGTCGTTCACGTTCCATGCAGGCTGACCCCCCTATAAACCCCTCAGAAAAAAACCCCTGTAACCCCCTATAGCCTCTCTTCAACTCACGGGCGTCAAACGTGCCGCAGATATTGTGAAATTCACATATGTGGTGGATTTTCGTGATTAATGCACTCAGCCCGATGTTTCTTTTTGGGTCCGCTGACTCATGACCACTGCATTTGATTGCCGCTAAACGATTTAAATAGATGGATTTGAGTGTCTTTTGACCCAGTTATGGCGAGTGCGGACATTCATTTCAGCTGGGGAATGCGGATGGGGGATATGAAAATAGTTGCAGATCTGGGATGCCTGATTAGCGTTGCAATTTTTAGCGTACGTGGGGAGATTTGAAATAAATAGTTGCATACGTATGTTATGGAGAATCTATTAATAATTTGAAATTTACGTAGTATTTCTATTACCGAACATTTTGATTAAAATTACCTTACAATGGTATTAATATTTATAAGTTCTCATGTGAAAACTGTCTAAAATTAAACATTTCATATGAAAGCATGGGAAGTAGGAATCATAACGATAGCTACTTTGGTTATAATATTAAAGTTCTGTTACTAACTTGGCTTTATAATCTCACACATGGCTATCTTAACCATCCCTGCACCGAATACACAAACTATACGAGGATTTCATAAATCAGCTCTGTTTGTGAATCACTTTCCTTGAAACAAAGACAGCTTTATCTCATCACCAGCTCGATTTGCAAATGAGCTGCGATACGAGATTTCCATTTGCACATTTCCAGAGTTTCTTGAAAATTCGTTGAAGCAGCACTATGCGTAATAAGCCAAAGGCAGCCGCCTCCAATTGGCCTCGTGTGTATTTTAGCTCCCCGTATTTGTATCTATATGCTTGTCTGTATACTGCTTGTATCTTTGTGAATGGTATCGGTGTATCTGTTTATACTCGCATCGAATTGTTTTTCGCCTAGACAGCACGCCAGAGAGCAATTTGCCGGGGATTGTTGCCCTCGATTCGATTTCGATTCCATTTGCAAAGCCAATTCCAATCCCAATCCCAAAAACCGAATCCGAAACCAAACCCAAAACTGTTGCCAAGCAATCCATTCGGCACGTGTACACGTTTGTGTTGGTTGGAAATGGCTCGAATGGCTGAAATGCGAAATTGTTGCGAATCGAATTCCGTTGGTGGTGCAACTTTTTTCTGGTCTTTGCACCTTGGCCAAAAACAATTATATCACGTGCCGCCCGCCCGGTCAGTCGTAGTTTTCGCATCTGAATATTTATGAGCCGTGTGCGCTGCGGTATTTCCAGTTTGCAGTTTCGGTATTTTATTTTGCAGTTCCAGTTCGCGAATCTCACGTGATCGTATCGCTCACCTGGGCATCAGATGCTCCGCTGCACTTTCAGCGTAATTGGTGCTAATCTAGGCGACTGAGTTCGTGATATTACCTTATCAGCCGACCGGGGAGCCCAAGGTCGTCGATCAGGCGAGAACCAGACCAGACCAGTCCAGCCCAGCCCCGCCCCTTTTTTGTTAATTAGACAGGCAGACTCTTCTATTTCAATTTGATTTATTTTTCTCTCCTCGAGCTTTCGGCGTCATCGTCGTCGTTTGTTTGTTGTCTCGTTTCGGTTGTTTTCCACTCTCGCCCTCGGAGATTTCACAATTCGAGGCACCGGTGGCAGCGCATTTCCATTGCCCAATGTCGATATGGAAATTTTTGTGTCACAGATCGACGGCGGAAACTGTTGGCATTGAATGCCTCGATTGTCCACCGTAAACATGTGAGTTGTGTAAATCGATACAGTGAGAGAAATATTATTAAAAAGTGTTTTTTTAGAATTTTTATTAACTAAAGCTTTGCTCTTAATATTTATAAAATCATTTTGAATATTTTATTAACGATTTTCGATAGCTAATTGTTGAAAAAACATTATGTTGATTGATTTATAATATTTTTCCCTGTATATTTGGTCACGGCATGTTCATTGTTATGCTCTTAGCGTCGTCAAAAGATTCGTGAATCACTTGGGCCGTTTGAATGAGTCAACTGCGAATGACATTTGCTGTTGATTAACGTAAGATTTTGGGACCAAGATATTATGACTGTCCCCTAGATGATTAACAATATTACAGGCTTCTACGGTAGTTGTGGATTCCAATCTAATCTTTACTTATTAATTTTCAATTGTTATGCTTTTGCTTCGGCCCGTATTACTTGTGGGAAAAACCCGGTCTCAGAGATTATACAAACCGAAAAGAACAAGTTGTTTTCGGCTCATATCAGTTGGGTCTAATAAAATGACCAACAAAATGAGAGAAAAACAGAAAAATATAATAAAATGAGCGTCACGTGTAGCGTGGCAATCTAATCGGTAGGGTTTAACTACCCCTGATAAGGACAGGAAATGGTTAGACACAAACTTAAGTATCAATGGACAAGTTCAGAGATACGCGAATTGGGCAGCGAGAGCAGCGTGTGCAAATTCTATTATACATTACTACGACGGCACATGGGGGTAATTATCGCCGACCGACTCATGCGTAGACAAACGTGTCGGTAGAGCTCCATATAATATAATATGAGTACTGGGGAATGCTGTCCATGCCTTTGGCAACCCACAAGCGACTGATCGGAGGAGCTGTCGTCATGGCAGGGTCGCGGACTACCTGTGGATCTCACCCTCGTATTTATGTGCCAATTACTTAATAGTGCGACAACAAAAACGGCACCAAAAACGTAAACAAACGTAAGACATTTCGGTGGGCCAGCGCCATTCAGATGGGGGGCATTTTGCCAACTTGTTGGGGTCTTCGCCATGGCTCTCATGAATCAAGCGAGTGATTCTCGCTGACGTTCTGCATTTCGTTGCTCTTTGGTCAATGATGAAAAGTACGCCATGATGAGTACACGCCCTGTTCACGGGATTGTTTGATCGCTTCCCGATGGCGCAGCCCCCTAAATTAAACACGAATGAGGGTCAAACATTCTGGGAAACTTTGTCATCGTTATAAATTTATTCGGGATCATGACTATTTGGTGATTTATACATTTACTCAGAGATAATAACAAAAATAATTATTAAAATTAATCACAAAAGATGATTATAATTCAAACAAACCCCAAAAAATACAAATATTTGAAATAGAAATATTTGAATTATATTGTTAGCATAATAAGGAAGAGAGGCTTCATTATTTGAGTCAAAAAGTTTTATAGAGGGAAGAACTTTCAAATTTCTTAGAGTTATTTACCCCTTCATGAACTTTGGATAAATATGAATACCGAAGTGCAGTCAACCTGCAATCCAAGGCGATGCCATGCCCAGTCCAAATCACTTTATTTGCATTACTCATACGCAGTGTACGCTGGTGGCACGATAATTGGCCACGGTTTACAAATCGAATTCAGCAAATTGTGCTAAACGCCGAGATGAAAACAAGTTGCTGGCGCCTTTATTAAGGGGGAGGGGCCAGCCCAGTCGGATAAACAAGTTCTAGGCGCCAGGGACTGGTGCGTTCTGGTATCTCTCGCCATATACTAGATGGATAAATCAGACGTGAATATATATAGTATATATGACTTGCGTTTGTTTGTTTGTTGTCGCCCGCTTATCGCCCCAAAGCCATGACACTTATTATTATTTCGCTCTTGCGGCCACTTTATTTTATTTTGGTTTTCTAGCGCTTTCTGGTCGATGCTTATGATGTGTTTGTTTTGGTTTTTGGCTTTTGCTTCGAGAAATTGGCATTCAATGGGTCTGTAAAGTGTAGAATTGGATGGGTTTTCTCTGGGAATTTGTTTTTTTACCCCTGTGGCGCTTGGCAACAGTTTTTATCGAGATTTTGGTTTCTTTACAAAATATGTTCAAGTTTTCGCTCAGCTTTTTATTATATTTTTGTTGGCACATGGCAATAAAAACGTGTAGAGTCTAAAATTAGCTGGCCTGATATATGGGTAGAGTGGACGTATGAAAACGTGTGTGGTTTTTGTCGGGCATCTGGCGGGATAAAATCTGAGAATAAATTTTAAGGCAAATGGTCGATCGATCCTGACATCTTGTCCAATTAAATGTGCCTGTGTAAATGTGAGAGAGGGATCGGGATCGGGATCTCCTTCCTGGACTTGATGATCCATACCGGATATGTACTACGTATCGTATGCTAATCGTACTTTAAGGCATTTGCACCCGTTTTACTACAACACAAACCAAACAAAACGCTCGTTTGATTTTAGCCAAGCGACCTCAGCCCAAAAAGCAGCTAACTGATGGAGAGCTCATTGAGACACACTGATTGCTTGATTGATTGCGATTTCGAGTCGAAACGACAACATTTAATCCTCTGTTCTCTTTGTTTTTTTCCAGCCCTATTATATTTTTATGTCGAATATAAAATGAAATAAATATGAAAACAATTACAACTAGTTTAAACGCATTTAACTATTAATCCTAGACTAACTAGCTTAAGTTACTACTTCTAAGTCAGACTAAGTTATGCGCCTAATAAATGCATTACTAAAACGAATAAAAAATTTGAAACAAAAATTACCGACTAAATACAAAAATCTGATTGAAAAAAAAAAAACAAACAAACAAACAAAATAATATAAAACATTTTTGAACAAGATTTGGACTTATCTGTGTTTCTTTATCCTTCCCACTTCTTTTTGCATATCGAAACGAATTATAGCGAAGCAGCTGTCTCCAGTTTTCCTTATTGCACAGAATCTAGCTTAAATTTTTCAACATCAGCCACGGCATACAGCGAGGACGATGCTGAATATGCCACCGGAAGACGTAATAAGACATCGAGGGTAAATATTGCAATTTAAGAGCGACCCAAAAACTCGCTATCATTTCTGAATCAAATAAATCGAAATCGGTAACAAAAACGAATACGAATATGAAAAACAAACGACTGAGGCAAGATCAAAGGATCAAAAGAGCATTAGAGCAGCGCCCGGATGATGACCACGCCCACTAGCTATCACACACTCTCACCCACCACCAACACCTCCACCAACTACCACCCACACACACGAGCAATGACCTTGAGCCATGATGCCGCCCGCCATCGACGCAGCCGCCACTTTTGACCCTTTTTTATTGTTAGCGAAAGAAAACAAAAAAATAAAATAAACAAAAAAATTGATGAAAGAAAAATAAAGTGAAAAAATGAGAACCGAAATTAGCGAAAATAAAATGAAACGAAATAGCAAAAGAAAAACGCCTCTCAGCAGAACAATCATTACTTAGGCTAGGGGCCCCGAAAGCCCAGCAAATCAAATCCCCATAAATGGGCTATCACTTGAGCTTTCCCACAAGCCATATTAACCAGACCATCTTCTACAACCTCTGTCCACAGCAAGACCCTCTATCCCATCGAATTATCGAGAAACGGAGGCGCGATCGCATGAACTCCTGCCTGGCGGACCTGTCCCGCCTCATCCCGCCGCAGTACCAGCGAAAGGGGCGTGGCCGGATCGAGAAGACGGAGATTATCGAGATGGCCATCCGTCACCTGAAGCACCTGCAGAGCGAGTGCCAGCAGAAGGAGAGCGACTACCGCAGCGGCTACATGGACTGCATGAAGGAGGCGGCCAAGTTCCTGTACGACGTCCACATGCAGGACTTTTGCCACCGCCTATTGGGTCGCCTGCAGGAGCACATCGACGAGATGTTCAAGAGTGAGTATATCAAATATTGGGTGGATCGATTTTGGGATAGGTTACTAAGGCTCAGATGACACATTCAATTTTTAACGTCCATTTATTGAGACAATTTTTCTTTAATGGGACTTTAAACGAGCGCGAGAAAGAATCAAATATTTTTGACTTCTCTACCACTAATACCAATAATAAAGGCGCGATATCATCCCAGCGGGAACATTCCTCTGGAAAATAACATATTTTCAAGAGGTTTCTCCATACAAGCGGAAGGGACAAAACCTCATTCACCCCTTACATTTCTTCCGTCTCTGGTTTCAAAATACACGGGGGTGACACAAAAAGTAAGGGGGAAATGAGGTTTCTATGTGGTTTTCCTAGGGAATTTACATTTTCCCTACACCGTCGCCTGCTGAAAGAAACAGGATTTCCAACACTTTCTGCTAAAAGGAACAGGATTTTAAGCATACAAAGAACCACCTTCTCACTTTCCCGGTGGGATATTAATCCTGACCCGCTTGCACTTCTTTAAAAACACACAAATGAAAAATTGTCACAATAAATTGACGCTAAAAATTGAATGTGTCATCTGAGCCTAAAAGAATTTTAAGATTTAAAATTAGAGGTTTTATTTCAGTTATTTAACCCCTTATGAACATTTTTCTTTAAATATTTACCATGAATTTTAAACGTTCAACATTGATTAGGATTTTTGTTAGTTAAGAACATTTTTAAGCTTTTTTTAAATACAAAATCTTTATAATTCACAAGATTTTTTTAACATTTACAATTTTTATATTAACTCCGAATCAAAAGCGAATTTTAAAATATAAAGCGAGTATTGTGTTCTTTTTTTAATTATTGAGTTCATAAACATATAATTTACCCACTTATTTGGGCTATTTTTTGGGACCTTTTAATATTTGTTGTAATTTGATTTTGGTAATTAAGCAAAAAAATCGTAATTACCATTCCCATTGAAAAATCGATCTACCCAATTTTTGATTTAAACAAACCTTTACCCCTTACTAACCTGTGTTAATCCCTCCACAGCGGACTGCTACAAGTCGACGCGCAGCTGCCACATGCCGGATAATGTGAGCGCCTCCAGCGGCAGTCCCCACCAGGCGTACCACCCACCTCTGTGCCACCTGCGCGACATGCTGGCCACCTCGGCCTCGGATGTGGAGCACAGTCAGGATCACAACGATGTCAAGGATCTGAGTTTCCGCAACCATCTCAACCAGTTGCAAAGAAGTCAGCAGGCAGCTGCAGCGGCAGCAGCAGCAGCAGCCGCAGCAGCAGCAGCAGTTGCAGTCGCCAATGGCACTTCGCCGGCGTCCAACGCTGGCGTGGATTCCAAGGTCCCGTTGACCAATGGTGGCGGCAATGGTGGAGCAGCTCCAGCGGGCGACAATGTGCCCAGTAATTCCACCGGAAATGGAGCAGCAACTGGGGGAAATAGCAGCAACAGCAGTGGCAGCAACAGCAGCAATGCGGCCAGCTCAACCACCTGTCCGCCGGCCGGAGGAGCGTGTGCCTCCAAGATCACGCCCCTGGCCGCCCACCAGCAGCCCCACCAGGCGCCAGTGATCACTTCGACGGCCCCGCATCATCATCATCACCACCACAACACGGACAGCAGTCACCACGACTTCGAGTCGTCGAGGGAGCCGATGCTGCACACCGATACCTCCAACATGCACTCGCCACCGCCCAGGGATCTGCTCCTGCAGCAGCATCCCCACCTGGCCCACAGCCACCACACGCAGGACAGCCTGATGTCCGTGAGGATGCGCAACTATTCAGAGTCCTCGCACGAGGTGGAGCACAACAACAACTACAAGTACAAGAATCACATCAAGGAGCGGTTCGTCCACGAGCTCCACGACGAGGAGACGAGCAGCGAACACTGTCCGGTGGCAGCCCATCTGCAGAGCGATCACTCCCACTTGCAGGCCTTGTCGGAGCACTCGAAGGATGGCACCGAACCGGAAATAGCCCCCATTATGGCCAAGAAGCGGAAAATGGCCGAGGCGGCGGCGAATGGGGAGATTCCACTGGAGGTTCACACCGAATCGAGTAACACCGCCAGTCGACTGGACAAACCCTCGCCCTCGTTCAATTTCAGCGACATCAAGGACATCAAGGCGGAACTGCACAATGGCAACTCCAACAATTCCAGTCCACTGCTGGCCAAATTGAGTGCGGCTGCGGCTGCCGGTGGCCAGTTGAGTACTCCGAGCAGCACCACCGCTCCACTGCCGCCGCGGCACTCGTTTACGGTGCCCATATTCGCGCTCCACGGCCAGGGCAACTATTATGTGCCCCTGAATGTGGACTACAATGCACTGGTGCCGTTCCTCAACGGGATGGATCTGCTGGAGAAGAGCTACACCAGTATGCCCGTGGTGCATCCCATCAATATCAATGTAAACTTTATGCCCAGTTCACCGTCGGCTTCGCTTTTGGCCGCCGCTGCAGCAGCTGCCGTGGCCGTTGGCAAGCAGCAGCAACAACAACAACAGGGTGTCGTGGCTGTCGGAGCGGGACTTCCCCTGTCCACCAACTCGGCAGCGGCCCAGGCAGCCAGCTTGGCGGCAGTGGCCAAGGCCAAGTTGGAGCAGGCAATGAACCAGAGTTGGTAAAATAAAAAAGCATAATCGGGCGACGACGGGTCGACAGATGGAACAACTCTACCTCAGTACTTCTGTGAATAATCATCAAATGATTAATCTCAAAACAAAAACACTAAGCGACATCTGCGCCCAATTATATCTACAAAAAGAAAAACAAAAAGAAAATGGCAAGGGAGAAGTAAAGAGCGAATTCATTGGGGGTGCTTCTAAAATCTCTGAGGGATTAAACCAAAGCTAAGGTGTCTAATATTTCATTTTTGAGCCAAGGAATTCATTTTTGAAAGGCTATTAGAAACAGAACTATATAAAAAGTAGACAGGATTTTGTAATACACTTAAATACATTATCTTCCAACAAAATTTATGTTTTCAAAAGATTTTGTATTTAAGTTACCAGAATTATAACCATAAAAAAATTGAACACCTTTTTCGAAACTCATTCATGTGTATATTTCTGAGCTTTTAATTGGGTTCTATTTAAATTTTTTATAAAAACAAGATTGTTAGCTGGTAAGATTAGACATCAAAGCTAAACATTTGAATAATTCGTATTACATTGCTCACTTGAAGGCACCAAAATAACTGTTTTTAATTCTCTAGAGATTTCAAAAGCACTGCGCTCTGTCACCTTTGGATTGTTCAAATCGCAGAGACCGCCAGGAGCAGCCTCAAAGGCTGGGCACCTACTAGAGAAATGATTTCCAATTGTTAAATGAGGTGGAGAAAACAATTAGAGTAGCTAGTTGTTAAATATTTTGAACAAAGCATAAATGTCTATTATAGCGCATGCATTGAATACTACAAAAACGTGTACGTTGTGTGCAAGCCAATAGAACGTATATGATGCCAAGAGTCAGTCCCACGTAAAAAATCTAATGGATTTTAAAACAAAACTAAATGTGAATTAAATGTATTTTTTAGAGGTTTAACGTTTTTGCAATTTAAATAAGTGTTGTGGTTTCAAATCAGGTAGTCAGATAGCCAAGTGACTCCCGTCAAAACATACAAAGTAATCTATATATACAAAACAGATATATTGATAAATATATAAATATAGTAAACCACTAGTCAGAGAACTTGTACGAAGACGTAAAAACAAACAAACAAAATGGGAGAAAAAACAAATCAAAAATTATTATATTCTATGTGTAAATACTATTAGCAAGCAAATTGTCCTTTGTTTAAGTTTGTATTTTAGTGACAAATTATGTTAGGTTGGTTGGTTAACATGTGAAAAAAACAAAAAAAAATATTCGAAAAAAATCCAAAAACTTTTCTATTCAAGAAATGCGCCATGTTTCATTCTCGAAATGCGGTCCTATTATAGTTATTATTATTATTACTACTGTCTAACACCTAAGTTGATTGTTTCTTTGTGTTTTCGTTATCCAACAAGTTAAATGAAATTTCAAGATCTTTCTATCACCTATTTCCAATTCGAAGCCCTCGATATTTTTAGGGAACTTCGGAAACGATTATGTTTTGAAAGCTAAGCTTCGTTGCGGCTAAACTAAAAGTTGATAGCACAAAGAATATTAATGTTTTATGACTCTTATTAATGTGTATGATTACTTTTACTGTACGGTACTGTTAATATACAACTACGTTACTGTTTAATATATTTTATAAATGTATACAGATGTAATAAAAAATTCAAACAGAAACCTTACCGTGGAGCTAAGTGGTACGGGAAAATGGGTAATTCGGTTATCACAACAAAGGTAAGACAATATTTTTTTCCAACGCGCTTCCAATTGATTGATTCGCATCACAAAGCCAAAGATTCAAGGGGGCGGGTTTACAAAACAAGTTATCCAGCTACATGTGGTTAAGACGAGAAGTAAAGTCAAAGATTTTGGTGTAAAATAACGATGCGGCGTACGATTTTTCTTTCTTCTAGCATTGCAGCCAGTATTTTCTTCGATCCTGCAGATATTCAGATGAGTACCTCATTATTTTTGCAGAACTTATAACAAATAAGAACTACAAGATCAAATCACGTCAGAATGGTCTATGGCATATTTTATATCCAACCCGTATACGCCGTTCGATTTATAAACTAGCTGCAATATATAGAAGGAGTTTTTTACTCAGAATGCATAGAAACGGAAGGACGTATCTAAGTCGACTCGGCTGTTAATGCTTTGTGCTTTAAGCCCCCCTCCTCTTTCGGGTGAAGTCCTATGCAATAATAGGTTTTTATAAGTATGCTATACCAAACCCCCATATCAAATCCTGGCTACGCTACTGTATGCAATTTACTTTCAATCGAACACTTCTTGCAGCTTATTAGTTATTCGATAATAAAGTTATTTTTATACATCTAAAATCTTGTGAAAAGAAGAGGCGATAATGTTTGACAAGAAACGAGCTTAAGTGGATCGGTCATTTATTCTGAGTCGAGCTGTTGCCCTTAAAAGTCGTTAGAGCGCAGGAAAAACATATTAAAATAATGTGGAATAATAATGGAAAACTTTTATTTGATCTCTTGCTCTTAAGTGTCCTTTTGATTAGTGTCCATTCTGCGGATATTCTAAACTGCAATTTTTTTGATACGGTTAAATTAAAGGACAGTCAAAAGTTGCCAAATGGATCGTACAATTACCATGATGTTATAATACCCGCACAACTTACAGGAGAATATGACTATGAAATAAATTACGAAGGGGTCAAGGAATCGGTTCCCAATCACATTCGAGGTTGTGTCTGCAAATTGAAAACTTGCATTCGCTTTTGTTGCCATCCCAAAAAGCTAATGGATGGCAATCAGTGCTCCGAAGGAACCCACGAAAAACTCACTTACGAAAACACCCTGGACATAACGCAAATGAATGGATCAGTGATAGGAAAACACATTTTAAATGACATGGTGGTGCAGCAAGATCTTCCCCTTCCTTGCGAAAAGCATTACGCTCTGGATGCGGAGGGATACGAAGAAGATATGTGGTCCCTGTACGAGGTGGGTCGAAAAATGAATTTTTTGAAAGACGAAATATAGAGCACAATTAAATTAATTATTAAATATTTTTAAAAATATGTTTTTTTAGAATGGATCCTTATTTCGTCACTATGATAAGCGACATCTCACGAAGCAGGAATTTTGCTTGCAGCCCAATTTAACTAGTACCGGCCAGAACTATAGCCTTATTGTCGCCTTTAATTGCATTCAGAAACCATCTTTGCAAATGGCATACGGTAGGTTAAAGTAAGCGCGTGCATAGGTATTACCGAAAATTCCCATTTCAGTCAAATCGTGCTCTATTGTCTTTATGGCCATATCCATTGCGCTCTACCTGTGGCTGCCAAAGTTCCGAACTCTCCATGGCAAATGCTGCAAGCTCTACTTCACTTGCCTGATGGTGACCTTTTTACTGAATGTCGTTAGCATGTTTGGGATCTTCAGCCTTGGGACTTCTATCTGCTACATCACCGGTAATTACTATATATTTTTATATTCTTAGTATAAAGTACTGGTTAATAATTTCAGGTTACGCTGGCTACTTTACAGTGATGTCCACTTTTCTGTGGCTTTCCGTCATCAGTTTCGATGTCTGGAGGAGATTTTCCTTGCGTCGGATCCAGAATTTCTACAAGAACAATAAAAGCAGTTTTTGCAACTACAATGTGATCGTTTGGAGTTCTGCTGGACTTTTGACCTTCATTATTTTTTTGGTGGATCAATTTGCAGTTACAGACCTAGCCAATCCATACACTCCCGCAGTGGGAGTATTTTCATGCTGGATATACAGTAAGTTAAATAGAAAATATATTATTATTATTTGTAAGAAACTATTTCCTTATCAGCTATTACTTTTTCAGGCGATGGATGGTCAGCAATGTTTTATTTGTACTTTCCGTTGGCGATTTTAATCGTTGTGAACGGAACAATGTTTTTCCTAACAACCCGATACATTTATGTGGAGAACAAGAAGAACCAGAAAGTGCTAAATAAATGCGAACAGCAAAAAGAATCCAGGAACCAAGCCAAGTACAAAGTAATATATTTCTCCTGATAAACCGCACTTATTGCCCTGCTTCCAGCTATCGCGTGTATCTGCGCCTGTTTATCATAATGGGCGGAAGTTGGTTTCTCGAAATCGTTGCCTTTTTATGCGAGATGGAGAATTCACTCCAGCCCTTAATCGTGGTAAACGATTATATAAACTGCAGTCAAGGAATGATTATATTCATGGCCACATTCTGCAATCAAGAAATGTTTAAATCAATACGAAAGCGGTGGGTTTCCTGTAAGAATATATCATCCAAATTCCATCATATTAATTCCCTTCTTTCAGCATCCAAAACAAGGAAAGTACTACCACTGATTCTACGAGTCGGCCACAAGAGTCTGAGAAAATGGAAGCAGTGGAATTAAGGAAATAATCGAATTAAGGTTACCGGGATGTCTTATATTTGCCATTATTTCATTATAGGACTTGAATCTGGCTAACAATATCTTTAATATTATCTTGAAACATAGTTTCCAAGTTTGATTACAATTGTATATTTACCACACGTCAATTAGACGGTGTTCCCACTAACTAAAGGGATACTTTAATTACTAGTACCGCAGTTCGAAAGGAGTTGCTAACTAACTAATATTAGAGCTAATAGTTTAATCGAAGTCTCGAATATCAAAAGTATGTGTACGATATTGTGTGAAAGTATGAGCAGGGCGGGAGTCGAGCTCCGGGTCTTAAAACTAGATGGTAGATTACTTAAATGACTTCAGTCGAAATTAGGACGCGTTTCAACCTTTTGAAAAAGCGTTTCGTTGCACTAATTAAGGTATAGGTAACTAAATACTAAATACAGCACACGTTGTTTGTGTTTAAAACTGAACTAGATGCACGCAACCTTGGCGAGTTTTACGAACTAATAAAAGTGGTTAAGTTAATGATTTTCATTGGTGTAAAAGCTGATTAAGATTTTGGTTAACATTCAAATGTGATCAATTATTTAATTTTTTCGAATTGTTGCAGCTTTTATTGCAATGAAAGCAATCATTTCATTAACCAGTGTGTTTACTTATGTGGCCAGCTAACAATGTGCTCACAGCGTCTCCGGGTGTGTGCGCTTCAAGTGGAACTCCACCATGTTGTCGAGATCACTGATGTACATCTTGGACTTCCGGATGTCCGAGTTGAGTACGCGCAGATTGGCGGTGTAGTCGGGCAAGTTGAGGCCCAGCCCAGCAGCCATTTCCTGACCCATCTTCCTGGCCATTTGGGCGAACGTAAGGCGAGCCTTGCCCAGCCGCTTCAGCGGACTGAACTGCTCGAGCACTTCTTTCAGCTCCCCATAATCGAGCACCTGCCACTGTCCGCTCTCCATGTTCCAGGTGAACAGAATTCGGCACTCGTACTGCCTGTTGTGAAACGCACAGTCCATCCGTCCGGTGCAGTGCAAACAGATGGCCAGTGGCTGATCCCGCGCCGAGAACTGAGCCATTAGCGTGCAGCCGATCGTCTGACTCAGCGGACACACGCTGATCACCTCGTAGGCCCAGTCGTAGAAGACGTTGTATATCTTCTGGTGCTTCTGGCACAGCAGACTAATCACATAGTATGTGAAGGTCTCCAGATCGAAGGAGTGCTGGGTGATTACCACGCTGCTGCAGCGCAGTCGCTGATACGAGGCCTGTGAGATCATCTGCATCTCCGAGTAACACGATCCGTGCACTTCCATTGGCAGTGAGGTGTGGTAGCCCGGCGAAATGCAGTCATCTGGGGGAATATATTACATTATAAACTATTAATTACTATATTAACTTCAGTTGTTTACCCTCTTCGCTGGTGATGACGGACGTAGCATCGTCCTCTTCCACATAGCGTCGTCGTAGCTTCTTTGTGCACACCGGTTTCTCCGGCATCACCCCGCCCTGCACTGGCATCTCCACAATCCGCGGCTCATCGCGTCGCGGTGACAAAAAGGACAGCCCAGCATTTGGAGACATGGAGCCCCCGATGTCAAAGCGCTTGGCCAGAGACACCTGCAGTGGCGAGAGAGCGCCCAGCGGACCCACCGGCTTGTAGCTGAGCATTTGCTGCGTGGCCTGCGATAGTGGCGGCGATTTCTGGTTGAAAATCTGAGATGAATTGGCATTCCGGCTGGGCGAACGCATCAGCATCGAACTGGACGGAGGCGAACGAAATCCCAGATGCGGGGGCGTCTGTGCCGGCTGGGAGGGATGTGGCGAAGATGAGGGCGAGGCGCAGGGCGAGTTGTGAAAGAAGTGCGCAGTGGGTGAGAAGCGATGAAAGCTTCGGGCCGAGGAACTGGCTGTCGAGGCGTTGAATGCCCGAACCGCCAGGCGCACCTTGGTGAAAGGTATAATATTTTCCGAGTTGTCCTCTGAGAACTCGTACTTCTTCTCCGCCAAACGTCGTTTGCGGAAAGTGGAGATCTTTTCGCACTTCTCATTGTCTTCTGAGAATTCATAGGCATTCGATTTGTCCGCCTTCGAGCTGGAACTGGGCGGGCTCTGAAACAGATTTCAATTTTATTTAGAGTAGTAAGTAAAATCCTTATAAAATAACTGGTTTCGGAAAATAACACACATTGTAAAAAACTTGTGTTATTAACATGTTAAGTTATCGACTTGTGTGTAAATAAATGTATCCTACAAATGTTAAAAACATAAATAACACACGCATGTCATTTGTGTTATTTACACTACGTTTTTTTTACAAAGCGTGTTTTTAACACAATGAGTTTTTGACATTAAAGTGTCAGAATTGTATGCAAAATGCACGGTTTTCTAGAGTATAAGAATTCATATATGCTTTGAAATGGTTAAAACTAATATACAAGATATCATGGCGCATATTGGTCTTTCATTTTCCCTTCGACTCGTTAATGTCAGTGAAATGTCATTTTCATTTGTGTTAAAAGCACAGTGTGTAAAAACACATGTCGTGTTAATAACACATTGTGTAAAAACACAAGTGTGTTAACAATTATTTTTTACATGTTAACACTATTTTTTTTGACACGCATGTCAACAATTTTGCTCACCCTGTAAAATACAATTTTTCATGTTTTTAACATGTGTGCCAATTTCCGAATTAATTTTAATTTAAATTTAAAACAAGAGAGAACGTTATAGTCGGGTGCCCCGACTATCAGATACCCGTTACTCAGGTAAAGGGAGTGCGAGGGAGATGGAGATAGAGATAGAAAACGTTGATCACGCATAACTTTTTAACGAATGGTCCAATTTGAAAAATTTCTTCTACATTTCGATAGGTATTGATAAACACAATAAAACTGCATTTTTACTTTTCCAAAATATTAAAATTTTTAAAATCGTAAATAAGCGATTGTGGGCGTTAGAGGGGGCGTGGCACCATTTTGAAACAAACTTGCGCTGCGTAGGAACTCCTAAAATCTGCATGCAAAATGCCAATCTTCTAGCTTTTATAGTTTCTGAGATCTCAGCGTTCATACAGACAGACAGACGGACAGACGGACAGACGGACAGACGGACAGACAGACGGACAGACGGACATGGCTAGATCGACTCGGCTAGTGATCCTGATCAAGAATATATATACTTTATGGGGTCGGAAACGCTTCCTTCTCCCTGTTACATACTTTTGCACGAATACAATATACCCTTTTACTCTACGAGTAACGGGTATAAATAATACGCACCTGCAAATCAATGGTGGTAATGCCATTGCGAAACTTGGTGACTATCCGCTGGTTGCGCCTCCGCGGCGGACTAGCTTCGTTGGCAAGAGGCTTCGCTACCGGTAGCGTGGTTTCCGGCAGAGTCATACTGGTCAAGCCCGTTACCACAGTGGGACTACAGTGTGGCGTGAAAATGAGCTTTTCGTACGCCTTTGGCGAACAGTACACATAGCCCCCGGACGGCACCTCATTGTTGTTCATATTATGGCTGTTGCAGGGCTGACTGGAGCGCTGTGTCTGTTCGGTTTCAATGTCGCTAAAGTCGGCTATAATGCGCGCCACAACGCTCTGTTCATTTCCGGATTCCGCCTCCGATCCAGAAGCTGTGAAGGCACCCGAGAAGCGATCCTCCTCGCTGGGCAAAGATCTTGGAAGCAAGAAGGATTGAGATTGCGATTGAAGACTGGGCAGGATGAGGCCCTGCGGGGAAAGGCAGTTGCTGCCCGGGTTCACGGCCTGCGTGTCTACATCGATGCGCAGCATGTGCATGAATCCATTGGAGATGATCAGAATACGTTCCGGGCAGAGCAGATTGATTTTCGGCTCGAAGACCGGATCTGTTTCAGTCGAGGAGTATTTGGTGTGCACCGTCAAGTGGCAGTTCAGGCAGTGCGCATTGTAAAAGGAATCTGAGGGGGAAAACCTCGATTTAGTTGATAAATTAAACAAATGCTTTTCCAGACTCACATGGACCGTCGTCGTTGAGTTTCTTGCACTCCAAACAACCCAGTTTAGGAACTTTGACATATGTGATATAGCTATCTTCCCCCTCCTCCGTAGCTGCTCCGTGGACAACAAGGATCTGGTGCTGTGAGTTCTTCCACTGCGTCATAGTTACAGTCTTTATGTTGTCCACCAAGTGATCGTCGAAGAGGCGGCGCGAGAAAAAGTGGCGCAGCCTCTTGTGCGGTTGGAATAGCCAGAAGTACAAACTAGGGAAAAATAATAGTTGAAATCTAGGAACTAGCTTGATATCCAGGTAGTTCTTACGTGTACTTATAGCCCATGTTGAAGGAGTAGTGATTCAGCGAGGAGCTGTCGTTGCACACCACCCGATGGCTGAGCATATACTGGCCGCAAGCAGTCAGGCCCATGAATATGTGCCTATGATGATATTCAGGTTAGAGGTTTAGTATTTGATAAAAGTACTTTGCGAATAACTTACCCCTCCATCAAACTGCTGGCCATCACATCCTTGAGGTATAGCTTTAACCTATTTGGCACTCTGTCGTAAGGAAGCTGTTGCTTTTGGCCAGCCCTGGAGGAGCCTGAGAAGAATCCAGTGCGCTGGGGGATAAATGATTTGAATTATATTACCAAAAGTCAAATATTAAACTGGCAAACAAAGCCATTCGTTTGAAACGTTGACCAAAACTACAAGATATTTTGCGCATGTCTTTCGTAATCCCTGCAGCTCCTCCTACCTTTACATATATCTAACAATCTATACTATACCATAAACATATGTACCTTTGCACCCTCAAATATAATCAATCGCAATATCTTTCCGGTATTTCCATAAAATTAAATATAGACCTTGAACTGAATAAATTGACCCCCTTAGTTAATGGGTTATGAAAAGATTTTACCGAATGATACCAGCTATAATGAATATCGGATATCAGGCGGAGGTAATCTCTATGGCGGACCCACCTCCCTGTCGTAGAGCATCTGCACCAGATTTCGTGTCCTTGGGACTGATGGTGGCGTGGGAGTCGGCTCCTCCGATGACTCGTCCGAGCTGTCCACCGTGGAGAAGTCGTCCTCGTCGGAGGACACGCCCGACAGCGACTCCACGTAGTTCTGGTAGTCAGTCTCCATTTCCCGGATCGCTTAAAATCAGACTTAATTTATTCCTCCTACTGCAAATCGAACAGTGTAGTGTTCCGGCCGAAAAGCGGCTGTGTCCTGCGTCCTAGCGCCTCCTCATCGGCTGGCAAGCGGCGCCAGTGGTGCTCATCGGACTCCTGATCCCTTTGTCCACCGCCTGGGGCTCTCAGAATTACAGCATCGTCGCTTTTTCGTTATAAATAAACCGAATTGTTAAATCGTTAGTGTCCAACCTATCGGCAGATGTATCGGTTTTTTTTTATTCGATGTCCACCGCGATAGGTTTGGACAAACCTATATCGATAGGATATAACCTCCCAGAAGAAAGAGAAGGAACGAAAATAAACATCGTTCTGTTTCACGTTCACGAAAGGTAAACAGAGGTGGATTTGACATTTTAAATCACCAGGCTCTATGTCAAGTGTTTTATTTCAGGTGCAATGGGCACCCGCAGTCTGCAGGTGGGCGGAATATTGCAACGATCGTACTTGCCTTCCAGCCTTTTCCAACTGGGAGCTTAAGATTTTAGTTAGATTTGATTTGAAACTTCGGAGCCTTCTTTTGCTTACCTCTTCCATAAAGAGTTCATCAAAATTGATGGTGAAGGGCTTTGGACTGGCCACCAAGTCTCCCATCTGCTACTGAACAGTTTGGAAGGAAATGGTCGCGGAAAGCGCTTTGTTGCGAAAATTTTGCATTATTTAAGTACAATTTTTGAACATAACGAACAGAATGATATTTCCCTCTTCATTTCCCTATTTCCCTTCATTTGTCCAAAAGCTATCGGTGCGTCTTCTTCTTCGATTTCAGGAGGCCTCATTTGTTCTATCGAACCTATCGAATGAAAAGGTAGGACCGTGGAATTGTAGATAAATAATACCGTCCGGTTGAAGGAAATATTCCGCAAGCGGACACACTGAAGGAGGCGTTCTCCGCTATGCCAGGTGGGTGTACTTGCTAACTATCGATATTAATCAAAAAGTCGGCGGTTTATTTAAAATATGTTTTAAGTATAGATAATAATAAAGGATAAACCGATCTAGCACTGTTAAGCAATGTTTAAGATTATTCCTTTTCCATTTTTATTGTGTTTTATATTTAAAACAATTTTTGTAAGTGTAAATAAATTATTCTTACCATAAACTTATCAGTAATCACTTTCTAGATTTTGGTTTTATTACCTTGTAAATATGGGTTGATGTACAATAAAATAAGCTATTTTATAGCCGCCAGCTGACCCAAAATCGTAATGCTCCAAAATCTGGCAACGTGACTACATGTTCATTGACCCTTCAACGTAATTGTGGGTCAATTCGTTTGCGGAAACCCCACCGTAACCCCCCAAATCCGATCCAATAACCGATGCCGGGTTCAGTGCGCCGGGTTTTAGAAGCTGAACAAAGTGCAGCCACAAAGAACCGAGAAGCGGGCTTCAACATTTTTGGTAATTCGGCATAAAAATGTCGAGCATGCCAGCAAAACAGAAAGGCAATTGCAGGGCTCAGCGAATTTTGGCAATGGAAATTCGGGGCAGAACCCATCGCCGATCCACGATCCACGATCGACCATCGAGCAGGAAACCTGATGCGCTGGCAGCGGCCATTGCACCGTGCTTATAAGAGCTGGATGGCCAACTCTCAGGTTTTAGTTCTGGAATAGTACGTGTCGCGATTGGTAAATCGGTGCTTATAGCCCTCTATTGAAGAGCCAGTGAAAATAATTCCACAATTTGTGCCTCGGAACTTGGATCGCGTCCTGAATTTATATCGAGTTATCTAAGGAAATAGTAGCCGTGATTTTACCCATGAATTTTTCACATATCACAGTTGCTGTTTCTTTTAGATAGCTCTTTTGTAAGCAGCTTAGATCATCCGAGTGCGAGTATCCAATGTTTTTAGTGAATCCTGAAGAAAAAGGTCCAGTTTAAGAAAAAGGATTTCAGTTTATGGGATACACACAGTTCAGTCTTGTCGCCTTTCAAGCATCACTGGGCTTTGTTTATCTCATGAGAGCGAAATTTGTTCAACAGGGGTTCTTAAATCACTGCTTTAAAGGCCAAAACCAAAAAAAAAATAGAAATGGATTAAATATGAAAAGGTATATTTTTTAAAAACATTAATACAACTTTATTATAGCATACTGTTTTTATTTTAAATCCTTTACATTTGGGAAATTTTGTTACCATAATTTATTTTATTACTATTTTGGTGATTTGTTCTTCAATTTGAATTTTCTAATTAGATCAAACGGTAAAATATGATTTTATTTCAAAAAACCTAAAATAGTTGGAGAGTTTTTTTAATATCTTGAAAAACCATTAAAAGTCTGAATAAAATATATTACATTTAATAAGAATTTTCATGATTTTAATACATCTCTTAATTAATAACTTAACAACTTATTCCCCTATTTTACTCCCAAATTCATAGACATTTTTTGATTGGATACCAAGAATAAGGCTTATTTTATTGGCTTGACCGGGTTGGGGAAGCACCACCACAAATTAAAAGCTTAGGGTACTACAATTTACAGTGTAGAAATGCAGTTGGAATATACAAATAAAAACGAAACGAAATGGGATGCCTAAGAGAGCATCTTGCGGATCATGTAGTTAAGAATGCCGCCATTCTTGTAGTAAGTGATGTCCACCTCGGTGTCGAAGCGCAGAATGGTCTCAAAGATGGTGCCATCGGCCTGGAAAAAGATAGCAGAAGTATTATACCAAAACCAGGATAATAATAGGATCCAGCAAGTTACCTCCACCTGGATCTTCTGACCCGGCTTCAGGCCGCTCTCGGGCAGGGCAATGTTGTACACCTCTCGACCGGTCAGGTTGAGGGTCTCGGCACTCTGGCCCGGCAGGAACTGCAGGGGAATGATGCCCATGCCCACCAGGTTGGAGCGATGGATGCGCTCGTAGGACTCGGCGACCACAGCCTTCACGCCCAGCAGGAAGGGACCCTTGGCGGCCCAATCCCTCGAGCTGCCGCTGCCGTAATCCTTGCCCACCACGAGGACCAGTGGAGTTCCCTCCTCGCGGTAGCGCTCGGCAGCATCGAAGATGTCCAGCTCCTCCTGGCTGGGAATGTGCACGGTGCGCGGACCCGTCTTCGTGACCAGTTTGTTGACCAACCGGATGTTGGCGAAGGTGCCGCGCGACATGATGGCATCGTTGCCACGTCGCGATCCATAGGAGTTGAAGTCCCGGGGCGTGATGTTCCGCTCCGAGAGGAATCGCGCAGCCGGCGATGTTCTGGCAATGGAACCAGCCGGCGAGATGTGATCCGTGGTCACGGAGTCGCCCAGGAAGAGCAGGCAACGCGCCTTCTGGATGCTCTGCAGCTTGGGCAGATCACGGGTCATGCCCTCGAAGAAGGGCGGACGCTTGATGTAGGTGGAGTCGGCGCTCCAGGAGAAGAGCTTGCCCTCGGACACCTGCAAGGTCTGCCAGTCCTGGGAGCCCAGCTCGATTTTGCCTGAAAAGGATTGGGATTTTTAGGATTTTTAAAAAGAACTTCTAGGCGATAGCAGGAGCACTCACTGTAGACCTCCTGGAACATGGCGGGAATCACGTGCTTGTTCTCCACCTCCTGGATCTCCGACCGCGTTGGCCAGATGTCCTGCAGGAAGACATTCTTGCCCTCGGCATCCACGCCCAGCGGTTCCTTCTCGAAGTCAATGTCCACACGACCCGCGATGGCGTAGGCGATGACCAACAGCGGACTGGCCAGGTAATTGGCCCGGGTGTTCGGATGGATGCGACCCTCAAAGTTACGATTTCCAGAAAGAACTCCCGCGCAGACGAGACCATTCTTCTCGATGGTGTTCACCACATTCTCCTCGAGGGGACCGGAGTTGCCGATGCAAGTCATGCAGCCATAGCCCACAATGTCGAAGCCCAGCTTCTCTAGGTAGGGAATAACTCCAGACTCCTTCAGGTAGTAGGTGACCACCCCGGATCCAGGGGATAGGGATGTCTTAATGTAGGGCAGGATGTTCAGGCCCTTCTCCACCGCCTTCTTGGCCAGCAGACCTGCGCCCAGCATCACCGAGGGATTGGAAGTATTTGTGCAGGATGTAATGGCCGCAATGACCACGGATCCATGTTGCAGCTTGTAGGTCTTGCCATCATCCCACTGGAACTCGCCAGAAGCGGACTGAGCCTCCGGGGCAATGGCGAAGCCCTTGAAACCCACCTGTAAGTAGAAATAGCATTTTAGTTGATCGGCTGATTAGTTTTCCTTTACAACTTACCGGGTTGGACAGGCAGGACTTGAAATCCTCTGGCATATCGGAGACCGAAACGCGATCGTGGGGACGCTTGGGACCCGAAACCGAGGTAACCACCGTGGCCAGATCCAAGGTGATGCTCTATAGAGTCGATATATTATTAAGAAATTAAGTTCAGAAAAGAGTTTTATATACCTGAGTGAACTTGGGATCTTGGGCCTCATCGGCATAGTTGCGCAGCTGCTGGGTGGCCTTAAGATACTGACGAATAATGTCGATCTTCTTCTCAGAGCGATCTTAAATTGGCGTTATAAAATGAAAGTCAAACAGAAATAGTTAAAGAATTGAAAGACTTACTGGTCTGCTTCATGTAACCCAGAGTATTCTCATCAATGGGGAAATAACCCACGGTGGCTCCGTATTCAGGACACATATTACTAATAGTCGCCCTATCGGCGATGCTAAGTTCCGCCACTCCGGGACCGTAGAACTCCACGAACTTGCCCACCACTCCCAACTGACGCAGGTGCTTGGTGATGGTCAGGACCAAATCGGTGGAGGTGACCAGTGGGCTCAGTTTTCCCTCCAGTTTGTAGCCAATAACCTCGGGCAACAGCATGGAAATCGATTGTCCCAACATCACAGCCTCCGCCTCGATGCCACCAACGCCCCAACCCAAAACTCCAAGGCCATTGATCATCGTGGTGTGCGAATCGGTGCCCACCACACTGTCGGGATACAGGATCTTGGAGCCATCGGTGGTGTCATTCTCGAACACCACGCGGGCCAAGTACTCCAGATTCACCTGGTGGACAATTCCGGAGCCAGGTGGCACGATCAGCATGTTGTTGAAGGCCTTGGCTCCCCACTATATAAGAAGAAGTCACATTAAAAAAGAGCTTGGGAGGATTAATTGAGTTAACATACCTTTAAGAAGGTAAACCGCTCCTTGTTGCGCTCAAACTCCAGGGTCTGGTTCTTGGTCAGGGCATCGGGAGTACGGGCAAAGTCCACCTGGACCGAGTGATCGATGACCAAGTCGGCGGGGCAGATGGGATTGATTTTCTCGGGATTGCCGCCCAGATCCAAGACAGCATCGCGCATAGCAGCAAAGTCCACCACAGCAGGCACTCCAGTAAAGTCCTTAAAACAGAACAAATAAATAAATTGGAAATCTTTAGAGTAGATTATCCTATAAAACTCACCTGCAGGATCACACGGGCTGGCTTGAAGGACACCTCCACATCGTTGGATCCCTGCTTGAGGGCTGGTGTCCAGCCCAAAATGCTCTGCACATCCTTCTCGAGGATATGGAAGTTGTCGCAGTTGCGCACCGCCGACTCCAAGAGCACTCGGATCGAGTAGGGCAGCTGATCTACGAGTGGCAAATACAAGTGTTAATCAAAAATGTTGAGAACTTGAATTTCATCACAACTACAGTAAAAACTTCTCTTGAGGTGACACCGTAGAAAATCCTTACTGCCTTTATTTAATAGATATTGATCACTAATTGTTCGGATTATTTATGTAGTTTTAATATCTTTAAGTCGGGGAAATCACATATAGATAAGATAAAAAAGATTAGAACCCATTTTGTCAAGTCACTATTTAGTTAACAAATTTTGGCAGGATTTTGTTTTTTTATATTTTTAACTAGATAAACAAAAATTAAAGTGGTTAACAACATTTTCATGTCTTTGTGATTGGCTTATTTAATTTATTTAATTTTGGTTTTATTTCTTTCTAACGCTACAAGTACAGAAAAATACTTATAAATTAAAGCGCTAGTCACAATTTGTCAGATTCATGAATAACCTTTGGCTTAAAAAAACAATTAAAAGATCTTAATTTTTGTTGAGATGTTAGCTTCAACTGCAATATTTTTTAAAATAAATAATAAAGAAAGCCTTCTTAAAGTCGGGATTTATTGACACATCTGCACTGAAATATTTAAAATTAATCATTAATTTTCTCGAATATTTTACAACCCTAAATAACAAACTTTTAACATAAAACCATGACCATTTTCCTCCTTACGGAGTTTCAATAGTATTCCCTGAGATAGGAGCACCTGTTATCAGCGTACAATGATTACGTTTGCATAGCACTCGATCCGACAGATAGCCGGTTCTATATGGTAGTAGCCATTAAAGAAAGCCCTCACCTCAGACCCCCGATTTTTGGACACGCGCAGACCCAGTGAAAACATTCCGCTGGTCTGGAGATTTTTCGGAAGCATCGGACCACGACCCCAAAACATCAGATTAGTGTAGTTTTAATCCGCTGATAAGGGGGAACTAAAATTGGAAAAAAAAAGCTTTGGGAGGCACACGATTCGTCGTTATCACCGGTAGACGAGCCCCATTATGAGGCAATCTCATTGGTGATAACTTTCGCTTTCGGCGCGAGACAAGCTCGCCCATATAGAAAACTATAGGAAACCTACTTAAAGCTACGGGAGCTCCACCTTCCAATTGACATCGCCTGACTTGCAAATTAAGGTGTTCGCCGTGCGCTTTTTTTCTTCTTTTTTCTGGGGTCAAACTCCAACTTCAACAGGTGCTTAATTCCCAATTTAGCTATGCATATTTGCCCCAGTTTATAGACCACCACGTCGACAGACACGCCCACTTTCGAAGCCTTTTTAAGGCCTTACCATATCCACTTACCATATTTGCTGTCGATGGAGGCGAGGTCAAAGTACTTGTAAGTTGTGCCGGCCTGCGAGAAAGACTTCTCGAACTGAGCGAAGGGATTGGCGCCTGCGGTGATATCGAGGTGTTATGTAAGCCACAGGATTCGGTGGATATAGAATACAGCAGTCGAAGGAACTGGAAACTACGGACTGGCCACCTACCTGACATCTTATTGGGAGACTTTACTGAACTTATTGCGGACGAGCAAAGCGAGAAACTGATTGGAGAAGCAAGTCGGATTGGAACTGGGCAGCTTTCGGTATATCGATAGCCAGCGATAGCGATGGTCTGATCGGGGGAGTATTTTTTGCCCGCGCGTTTTAAATGTTATCACATCTACAAGAACGTTTCGAATGCCTCTTTAATGTGTTACCAGCTTGGGGAAATACAGGGGTGGTCAAAAGTATTTGCACATTTCTTATGAGTATGTACGTGTAATTTTTGCAAATACTTTTGACCACCCCTGTAAGACAACTTATTAAACAGGTCGACAAAATCCGTACTTCCGTACAGGCCCAAGACTAAACGCTACAAAACCTGAAATGTTTTAAGCCTTAGATTACTACCCCATACTTGGGAACTTTTTATCACGTCACAGTTTTGAGAATTCCGTAAAAAATGTTCAAAATTTTTGATTTATAGGCACTTTTTGTGGCCGAATAAAAACTAAACCCTTTATAGCCCAGAGCCACAATTTGGTGGAAATGGTACATTGAACCTTTAACTTCAACAGTGTCTATGACCAAGTTGGTCGACCTCTACTTCTTGAGTTATAATGCATTTTACTCATTTAGATTTTAGAGATTTTTATAGGACTTAAAAAAGTACCAATTGTTGATTAACGGAAGTATATATACCATTCGTTAAAAGTTGCCATACTAATTATGCTAATTTGGACTGTTCTATATTATTCGGCATTTTATTATGATATGATTTTATAATAAATATTGCAACTTAGTTTTTTAGGTTTTTTAAACCACTTTGATACTTTATTCAGTTTTCTTTGGAGAGCTATAGAGACCAACATAGTTTATTTACATACAAATGCTACATAAATGCAGATAAATATTGAAGCATATTTAACCCAACATCTTTCGAACCATGTAGTTAAGAATACCTCCATTCCTGTAGTAGGCAATATCAACATCGGTATCGAAACGCAGAATAGCTTCAAAGACCTTCTCGTCAGCCTGGAAGTTAAATAAAATAGTTAGGTAAAGGTATATTTTCATAAACCAAAAATTGGTTTTATAAACCAGATAACTTACCTTAACCTGTATTTTCTGGCCCGGTTTCAAGTCGCTTTCCGGCAGAGTAATGTTGTAAGCCTCACGGCCAGTTAGTTTCAAAGTCTCAGCATTTTGGCCGGGCAGGAACTGCAGGGGAATAATACCCATGCCCACCAGATTGGACCGATGGATGCGCTCGTAGGACTCGGCAATGATGGCCTTAATCCCCAGCATATATGGACCCTTGGCGGCCCAATCGCGGGAACTGCCGCTGCCGTAATCCTTGCCAGCCACCAGAACCAGCGGAGTTCCCTCCTCGCGATACCGCTGGGCAGCATCGAAGATGTCCTGCTCCTCCTGGCTGGGAATGTGCAGGGTTCGCGGTCCCGTCTTCGAGATGAGCTTGTTCACCAGCCGAATGTTTCCAAAGGCCCCGCGGGACATGACGCCATCGTGACCACGACGCGTTCCGTAAGTATTGAAATCCCGGGGCGTAACATTATGATCGGCGAGGTAGCGGGCTGCTGGCGAGTTTCTGGCTATCGCTCCAGCCGGAGGCATGTGATCCGTGGTGGTGAAGTCGCCCAGCAACAGTAGGCAACGAGCCTTCTCGATGCCCTTCAGTTTGGGAACCTCGCGGGTCATGCCATCGAAAAAGGGAACCTGCTTGATGTAGGTGGACTCGGGGTCCCAGGAAAATAGCTTTCCCTCCGGTATCTGCAGCGACTGCCATTCCGGAGTGCCCAGCTCAATCTTGCCTGTAAATTCGGGTAAAATAAATATTTAGAAACCTGTTAAATTAAGTAAATCTAGTAGAGCCCTGCGTGAATCATTTAATTTTTGTTTTATCATAGTAAGCCATGAAATTTCTGATTTGTTTAATTCAATTCTATGTGAAATAAATTGAATGTTTATCTCAGGGATCGCAAGTAAGAGTTACTTTTTTAAAAAAATTGAAAAATAAGTTTTATTTTTAAATTTTTATTATAAAAGTTGACAAATAACTCTTATGCTTCAATTTTTATTATAAAAATCAACAAATAAGAGTTATTTGTCAACTTTTATAATAAAAATTGAAAATAAAGATTGAATTGATATAACTCTTGAACTGTACGGTACATTGGTTTAAAATTTATATATATATAATCTACGCTTTAATACCTTTCTGTTGATATGCCATATGTCCCCAAAATATTTTTTATAATAATAATATTTGTTACATCATAAAAAATATTTTGGGGACATATGGCACTCACTGTAGGTATTCACTCACTGTAGGTATCCTGATAGATGGCAGGAATGATGTACTTGTCCTCAACCTCCTGGATCTCCGATCGTGTTGGCCAGATGTCGCGCAGGAAAACCTTCTCACCATTGGCATCCAGGCCCAGCGGTTCCCTCTCGAAGTCAATGTCGACACGACCCGCGATGGCGTATGCGATGACCAACAGGGGACTGGCCAGGTAATTGGCACGGGTGTTCGGATGGATGCGACCCTCGAAGTTTCGGTTTCCGGAAAGAACTCCTGCACAGACCAGATTATTGTCCTCTATGGCATTTACCACTTTTTCGTGGAGAGGTCCTGAGTTGCCGATGCACGTCATGCAGCCATAGCCCACGATATTGAATCCCAGTTTCTCTAGGTACGGAATGACTCCAGATTCTTCCAGGTAATAGGTTACCACTCCAGAACCGGGCGATAGGGATGTCTTGATGTAGGGCAATACGTCGAGACCCTTTTCCACAGCCTTCTTGGCCAAGAGACCCGCACCCAACATCACCGAGGGATTGGAGGTATTTGTGCAGGATGTAATGGCCGCCAGGACTACGGATCCATGGTGCAGATTGTAGGTCTTGCCATCTTCCCAATGCAATTCCCCGACATCTGTTAGTGCTTCGGGGGTAATTGCAAAGCCCTTGAAGCCAACCTGGAGTTAAAATATATATTTTAGCATGTTAATTGATTTAAATGTATTTGTGATAGTAACTACTTACTGGACTCGACAGGCAAGACTTAAAGTCCTTTGCCATTTCTGAGACGGAAACGCGATCGTGGGGTCTCTTGGGTCCAGAAACTGAGGAAACCACAGTGGCCAGGTCTAGTGAGGCAATCTATAGCAGAGTCAAACGATTAGAAACAACATTAAGTGTAGTTACACAGAGAGAATTTTTCATGGACGTTGCACTCAAATTGAGAATTTTTACTCAAAATATTACCAAGTATTCCTTTTAAGTGCAAAATACTTACTTTCAGTAAACATTTTTAAAATAAAATACCTTAGAATTGAGTCTTTTTCGGGGGAAACATCAAGGTAAAAGTTAAGGCTTTTTTTCAAATTGAGAATACAAATACTTAATTTGAGAACGTCAGTCTTCTTGAAAAATTCTAGCTGTGTATATTTCTTCAAACCTGTGTGAACTTGGGATCTTCAGCCTGGTTATCGAAATTGCGGAACTGCCCTGTGGCCTTCAAATACTCCCGAATGATGGAAATCTTCTTCTCCGAGCGATCTTAAAAAAATTAATAAAAGATAGTATACAAATTAAGATAATTTGGAGGTTACTCACTTGATAGCTTTAGGTAGCTGAGGGTGTTTTCGTCGATGGGGAAGTAGCCAATAGTGGCTCCGTATTCGGGACACATATTACTGATGGTGGCCCTATCTGCAATGCTAAGTTCCGCCACTCCGGGACCGTAGAACTCCACGAACTTGCCCACCACTCCCAGCTGACGCAGGTGCTTGGTGATGGTCAGGACCAAATCGGTGGAAGTGACTAGGGGATTGAGCTTCCCCTCCAATTTGTAGCCAATTACCTCGGGCAACACCATGGAAATGGATTGTCCCAGCATCGTGGCCTCCGCCTCGATGCCACCAACGCCCCAACCCAAAACTCCCAGACCATTGATCATCGTGGTGTGCGAATCGGTGCCCACAACGCTGTCGGGAAACAGGATCTTGGATCCATCCTGGCTATCCTCCTCGACGACCACATGGGCCAGGTACTCCAAGTTAATTTGATGGATGATGCCAGAGCCAGGTGGAACACACAGCATGTTATCGAAGGCTTTGGCAGCCCACTAAATGGGTAAATATGTTAGGAAAAAGCTAGGATTAAGATGAAGAATACAAATACCTTCAGGAAGGTAAAACGCTCCTTGTTCCTCTGAAACTCCACCGCCAAGTTCTTGGCCATGGCATCTGCAGAACGATGGAATTCCACCGGCAACGAGTGATCGATGACCATAACAGAGGGGCAGACGGGATTTACTTTCTCAGGATTACCTCCCAGTTTCAGGACAGCATCGCGCATGGCAGCAATGTCCACCATGGCTGGGACACCGGTGTAGTCCTGCGGGTTTTATATTTTTTTTTTATTATTTTGTTTCTATGAAACAGAAACCCCTCACTCACATGCAAAACCACACGGGCTGGCTTGAAGGACACCTCCACATCATTGGATCCTTGCTTGATGGCCGGCGACCAGTTCAGGATACTCTCCACATCCTTCTCCAAAACATGGAAGTTATCACAGTTGCGCACCGCCGACTCCAAGAGCACTCGTATAGAGTAGGGCAGCAGATCTATTTATAGAACCCAATACAATTTCACCATTTACCAATTATTTCACGCATCAGACATGAGGAAACCCCGACCCCTAATCACAGTTCAAGTCCTATTGAAATATTCCACCACTCCAAATAAATTTATTCATATCTTAAGCGTCGACGTCACCTTTGTAACTGATAATGATAAGCGTGTCCGAAATAACTCAAGTGCCACGGGATTCCTTATCAAAACCTATGAATGGAATGGCAGATTCCATGATGGGTACATATTATCAGATCTAGTGCAGAGATAAACTAATTCAATTTATTTACTTGATTGATCAGTTGGTGGCATTTCAGATAAGAGAATATTTATTTATTGACCATTACCTACTGTTGTAACTATATAAACCTAAATTATTTTGCAAAAAATTTGTTTGTAAAGATTTTATATTTTTGTATCCAAATATTTCACACATCCCAAAATTTAAATATTAGTATTACTTTTTTACTATAATTTCAAAACTTTCCTTTTCTACTTTACGATTACTTTAGTATTCGAACTTAAGATTTTCAAGGTATTTTCAATTTTTAAAAATATTCCCAGTATAAACCATTTTTCTTGCTATTTTAAATCGTACCACAGTTTTTGTTATCATATTGAAGTAGGTCATAAAAAAGTAGAGTAATTCTAACATCAAACAAATAAATGCCTGCCTTTTAATAAATAATTAAAGTTTGTTTTTGTAATGGGTGACCTTCACGCATTACAAATGCTTTACACTTTCCAAACCTGGTTCTAGTTCTGGTAATATTTTATACCATATCGATGAGCTATCAAATAAGTTATTTTGTAAACAAACTACTCACTGTATTTGCTATCAATAGCGGCCAAATCGTAGTACTTGTATAAGGTGCCAGCCTGATTGAAAGACTTCTGGAACTTGGCAAATGGATTCGGCCCTGAAAAATTAATCACTTTAAAAATCTTATTTTTTATGCTGTATTTATCAAAACTAACCGGCCATTTTTAACTTTTAACTGTTTATAACTTTGCAGCTTAACTGAACGTACTCCGTTTGGGGAGTAACGACTTCTGTCTGTTATATATTTGATTCTCTTCTCTGTTATATACGTTTTTTTGTAGACTCTGGATCAGTGTGGCCCAGTCGAAAGCGCCAAGAAATAACAGATCGTAAGGTTACAACATATTTTTACTCGTAAATATTAAATACATTAAAGATTGTATTTAAAATTTTTCGTTTCAATTTGACGGGTTTCAATTCCTTAAGTTCCAATTAAGCTTAGAACGTTATTAAAAACGGTTAAAATTTAAAATGCCCGCCAAACTGCTTGGTAATCGATTACAAACCACCAATCGATATTTCGATGACCATTTAAGCGGTATTGTTTTCACACGCGTTCTCACACGTTGTTTTCCTTTGAATTTACCAGCAAAACGAGCAAAATAATTAAATAAAATGAACCTACCTGCAAAAGTGGACGTGGAGAAGGACAAGCTGCGCCAGATGCACTGCGAGTTCAATCCCCTGTCCCGCTGCGACGGCTCTGTGATGTACAGCCAGGGTAATTCCATGTTTTCCACTGCTAAATGGCCAAAAACCGGCTAAAGAATTCCTAATTCCAGGTGCCACAGTGGTTATAGCGGCTGTTCTGGGCCCCATCGAGGTCAAGACGCAGAACCTGAGCATAGACGGCAGCTATTTGGAGTGCAATTACCGACCAAAGGCGGGGCTTCCTCAGGTCAAGGAGCGGATTCGCGAGGCGGCCATTCGGGATGTTTTGGAACTGGCGCTGCTGGCCGAGGCCTATCCGCGTTCCAAGATGTCCGTGCAGGTCCAGGAGCTGGAGGATCGTGGCAGCGTAGGCTTAGCACTCTATTCTTTTTAATCCCTTTAATAACAAGCGAATTTCCCCTTCAGATCGACGCCTGTGCCGTGAACTCCGCCTGCCTGGCCATGCTCATTGGCGGCCTGCCGCTGAAATGCAGCTTCGCGGCCGTCCACTGCATCATCGACGAGAAGGGCGAGTATGTCCTGGACCCCGACCAAAGTGAGACACTCCACCAGCGGGCCAGCTTCACCTTCGCCTTCGATTCCGTCGAGGGAAACCTCCTGTTGGTGCAGACAAAGGGCGCCTTCAAAATAGCCCAGTTCAACGATATCGAGTGCCTTTGCCGGGCGGCCAGTGCCGAGATATTTAAATTCTATCGCAGCCAGGTGGCCAAGTACCACGGCAGGAGCGAGGCGATAGCAGAGAAGAAGGAGGAGTCCATGGAGACGTAGGGCAACCCCAAGTAGCTAGGTACGATTAAAGTTCGTTTTATTGTATAAACTGTCTGTTGTGAAAGTCGCTTATGCTGCTCAATTCGAGGGGTGTGCCCTTTAGAACCTGGGAATTGGATTCCTCAATGCGTACGGACACAAAGTCACCAACTTTAAGTTCTCCTGCAACAGGCAGATTTACAGCAGGAACAATCACCTTGATATTGGCATCATTGCGACCGAAAAAGTGGTCATCCGAGCGCTTGCTTTTGCCCTCTATGAGGATGAGCTGCTCCTGGCCAACCATTTTTCGGTGAAGCTGCGTAGCGCCCTCTCTAAAAACCTCCACCATGCGTTTTAGTCGATCATTCTTCACGTTTAAAGGCACATCATCCTTGTAGCGTCGATGGGCTGCCGTCTTTTCCCGCATGCTGTAGGCAAACAAGTAGGCCACATTGTACTGGACTTCCCGGATGAGCGACACTGTGTCGCGGAACTCCTCCTCCGTTTCGCCGCAAAATCCGCAGATAAAGTCGCTGGACAGACCGACGTTGGGCAAGAATTGCCTGATGTGCTGGACAAGTTCCAGATAGGCTTCTCTGCTATAGCCACGCCGCATCCTCTCCAGAACTTGCGTGTTGCCCGACTGCGCCGGCAAATGCAGTTGCTTGCAAACATTCGGATGATCGCGGATGACCCGCAGCACTTCGTCGGAGAAGTCCTTGGGATGCGGGGAGGTGAAACGGATGCGCATCGAGGGCACGGATTGAGCCACCGCTCGCAGCAACTCGGCGAAGGGAGTGCCTCCAGTTTTGGGCTTGTAAACAGTACGGAATCCGGGCACTGGGGTGGCTTTCAGGGAATCCTCCGCCTTTTCAGCACTTCTCCCCCTGTACGAGTTGACATTCTGGCCCAGCAGAGTCACCTCCCTGACGCCCTGCTCCTCCAGAGCCCTCACCTCCGCCACAATCGACTCCAGTGGCCGGGAGCGCTCGCGTCCGCGGGTGAAGGGCACTATGCAATAGGTGCACATATTGTCGCAGCCCCGCATAATGGACACAAAAGCGGTGGGCGAATCCGAGTTCAGGCGCACGGGCATCACATCCGCATAGGTCTCGTCCAGCGAGAGGAGCACATTGATGGCCGAGTTGCCGTAGTGCCGCGAGATGGCCAGCAGTCGCGGCAGATCCTTGTAGCTATCCGGCCCGGCGATCACATCCACGCACTGTTCCTGCTCCAGCAGCTTCTCCTTCAGCCGCTCGGCCATGCAGCCGAGGAGGGTCAGCTGCAGCGGAGGTCGCCGCGAGCTGCGCTTGCTCTTCAGCGCCCGCAGGTGCTTCAATCGGTTCCAGATCCTCTGCTCCGCTCCGTCGCGCACCGCGCACGTGACCAGCATGATGACATCCGCCTCCTCGGGCTCCTGGCAGCGCTGGTAGCCGTTCTCCTGCAGGATGCTGAACACCACCTCTGTGTCGTTGGTGTTCATCTGGCAGCCGTAGACCTCAAAGTGCACCTTTCGTCCGTTGCCATTGAAATCGATGGAGTTCAGGTACGGCACACTGGTGTCCACCGGCTCCTCCTCGTTGAGTTTTAGATTGGAAGCCGGTTTGACGGCAAAGAAGTCCTGGAAGCCCGGCCCGCGCTGAATCCTCTCCAGAAATGTGGCACGTGCAGCCGGCTCCGGTTTTACTCCACCTGCTGAAGGAGCGGAGTTGGCTCCCTTGGAGGCGGTGGTGGAGGCGTGCCGCACCCGGCGTAACAACGCCCGGTAACTCGCTTTCATCACAGATTTAATGCTTTTGGTTTTTTAAAGAATTCAAATATTTTTTGTTTATTATGCAACTTGTGCCTTCTTTCCCGGCCAAAATACCAAAACGCCTTCAACAAGTCGACAGAATTCGCCGTTTTTTTGGCCTTTTGTTAGCTGGTCATTTTAATGTCTAGAACGCCACCTAGCGGGCGATTCGTGCAGCTAAAAGTTTAGAAAACAAAGATGGTCACCTTAATTTAGGCGCCACATAGCGGTCGGTAGCAGTAGCAGGTAGTTCAGAAATATTCCGCTAGTTCATGTTAAAAGTTCTAGTTCCTAATTGTTTCGCTAGGCTTCAGGAATATTCCGCTAGTTCATGGTAAAAGGTATAGTGTCTAAATTTTCCGCTAGGCTTGGAAGAGAAGAATGGATTCAAAAGGAGCGTAAATTTAAAATTTGATAAAATTCATTTTAAAATCCCTTTGCTCTGCAGAAAAAATTGTTTTTTATTTTGTTTTTTCGTTGTATTTTTAAGTGAAACTGGACCCAAAGTGTCCTAAATCGTCTTAAAATAGACTTGATAGCAAAACACTAACTTAATATTCCGATCCAAATCTTATAATACTTTTTTTTTTAACTTATTGAAAAAAATAATTGTAATAAGCAAAAATAAATAGGGTTATTGCAATCCTTTACTTAACAAATAAAAGTCTCTTAAATAATTTAGATTTATAAAAATATAAATAAGCAAACCTTTTCGTTTTTCGAAAAGTAATTAGCAGCACAATTGATTTGCAAATCGTGCAAGGCAAAACATAATTAATTAGGTCTTTGGAACTCTGCCTACAAAACTGGTCTTGCATCTGGCTTCCTTCCCAGATAAACACTCAAAGGGGAATGCTCAGCCGCACATTTGAGGACAGGCTGACCAAAGTCCGGCTCAGCCGTAAGAAATTAGCTCGCCCTCATTATGAGCTTATCGTGGTCGGGTTAATAATGCACAGGTGAAGACAATGCAATTGCAGGCACAACAAATGCGACTGCTCTTGATTCCGTTTCCATTTCCATACGTATACCTGTGCCGACATTTTGCGGCTTTGTGGGTCAATAACTGAATAATTGTGTGGGCCATAAATAGAGCCAAATTCGTCGGTTGCATTCCCCAGTAGATAATTTTACCCGATTTAAATTACTTCAGGATATACACGTGTAAATAAAACAATTTTTGTAACACTTTTAACAATTCTATAAAAGAAGATAAAAATAAAATTGTTTTTAGTTACAATATTTTTATTTTACACAATTTTAATTATTTTAATCGTAACTAAAATCATATTAAATAAAAATAATTTAATTTTAATCTAATATAAATATTTTCCTTATTTTACTTCTACGATGTTTCCAATTCCAAACCGAAAAACTTTGATTTCTTTAGAACTCTTTAGTTAAACTATATTTGTGTGCCTGCTTGGGAAGTAAAGGGAAAATCGGATGTGGGGGGAGCAGCTAAGAACACAGCACATATTTTGTAAACACTTACAAGCAGAAATATTTTAATGAAAATGAAATGAAAATTCCACTTTCGGCCAAAAGAATTTCGTAATTACAGCGAAAAAATTCGGTAATTAAATTCATGAAGTTTCTGGCTCGAAGGCGGCGAATCCGGAGGGAGCCACTTGGGTGCACCCAAAAAAAAAATCGACTGAAATCGCCCTTGGTTTTAGAAAATCGCCTATGAATTTGCTTTACTGGCGATTTTGTCTATATTAAAGAAAGTAGGTTTTTAAAATCAAAGACGTTTTTTCTAAAAATCAAAAAAAAATAGACTGCAATTTAGAAATATTTTGCTAGAAAGTAAAAAATTATTTCTTAGAATTTAGAAATAAAGGTTTTCTAAAAAATAGAAATACGGTTTTTTTTAAATATAGACAAATATTTTTAAATAAAAAAAAAAAAATTTCTCAAATTCAGAAAATACAAAAATCTATTTTCGGGCTTCGGAATTATACCCGGTTGTTTCTGTGACGCCACGGCCTTTGTGTTGTTTTTTTTTTCGTTCTTGTTTGTCACCTTATTTTAATTTCCTTTAATTGAGCACATGGGTGGTTTCAAATTGGAACTGAAATGAGTGTACAAATTACAAATTATAAATATAAAAACCCAATAACTTACTATTTTGAGAAAAACATCTTGGTCGCCGCACGCGGGATTCGAACCGGTAACCGCTCGCGCCTCACAGTTTGCAGTCAAGCACTCTACTAGCTACGCCACGGAAGCATCACGTGAGGCGCTGTAAAAAGTCTATTCACATTTTGTTCTCCTATTTTTACTCAAATTGATCTGGCTTTCTTCTGGTTATTCCTTTTAGTTTATCATTTAATTTTACTTTTAAATATTTATTGATTAATATTAATATTTATATATTTATTATTTATTATGGTTCAATAGTAACAGTAATTGAATGTTTCAAATTTGAAAAACTTAAACAAAATGCAATACATTTTTTTTATTAATATGTAAATATTAGTGTTAAAAAAAAACAAAAAGACACCATGAGTTTTTCGTCTCGACGTGGGTTTGAACTCACTCTTGCAGCCGCAAGCTTGAATAACATATGCATGCACGCACGCGTTAGACCCCTAGGCTACCAATCCCGGAAATTTTCTTCGATTAATAGCGATTTTTTCTTAGGCTAAAAAAAACTTTTCTAAAAAGTCTATAAGAAAGGAAATCGATCAAATACGGTTAAATTTTTTATTTTCTAGAAAAATATTTCTTAACATCACACATTTTTTTCAAAATGTTAGAAAAATCTTCAAAAAATTTTTCTGTTATTAGAAAAACAATATTTCTATTATGTAGAAATATTTATAATTTTAATGGCAATTTTTTTTTAGTTTTAGAAAAGTTCAGTCTTTTTTTTCTAAAATCAATGGCGATTTTAACCCTCAAAAAAAGAAAGGATGATTAGAAAAATAAACCTTATAATTTAGAAAAAAATTGATTTTTCTGTATTTCAGAAAATATTTTCTAAAAAAACTCGTTCAAGTCAGAATTTTTTTGAAGATTAGAAAATTTTTCTGAAGATTAGAAAATTTTTCCTCTTTATAGAATATTTTTTTGAAGCACAGAAAATTTTTTTTTTCTATATTTAAGAAAAAATAATTTTTTGAGTGTGGTTCCCTGGCTGAATGCCACTCGCATCCTTGTAAGTGGACCTGCCGGCTGAAGGCCTTCTGCTTTCCGCGTTCTGTTGGTTAGGCATTTTCTTGTATTTTGTCGGCACTTTTCCGCTAAAGTTATTTTCCCATGAGTTTTCTCTCTAGTCCGCCGCTATAAATCTTACAGCTCGGTCCTGGGGATGGAGTTGTGTGTTCCAAAAACGAATAACTACATATATATAAAGAGAGAGAGTGGGTCTCCTGCTGGCTTGTGCATACGCCGAGCAGCTTAAGCTCAGAACTAGTTGGCCAGAAGTTATATCTCAAGGAAACTGTCAATAAATAATAAATAATTCAATTGTACTAATACTTTCCATATTTAGTGGTAGCAATTAATCCGACAATTCGACTTGGGAACACGCTCTTGGCAGTTGACAATTTGTGAGGGCTTTTAAATTGGATGTAGTAAATTGTTTGTGGGGGAAAATAAACTGGATAAATAAAATTGATTTTAAACAAGCTAAATCTTGAAAAAAATAAATATCACTTTTATATACATACTCATAATGTTTAATATACTACACTATTTAAAAAGCTACAAATCTGATCTGAAATCACCAAAATAACTTTGGATCTTTGCGCATTTACACTTTACTTCTCCTCAAAACCCTTAAACCTCATGCTAATACAAATTCGAATGTGTGCTTAAGTCCCCTGAGCCTCCCTCACCTCCGAGAAACCTTCGTCAACCTGACCCCCTGGTCCAATCTTAAACCCACCGTAGACCCACCGAGAACCCACCGAACCCACCAACGACACTTTGAGGCCCCATAACGCGGGCACACGCATAATGATCCCTTGAATGGCTCAATGCTCCGCTTCTCCGCCAGCCGGAAAAAGTTTACTTACAGCTTACGGATTTCTATTTTTCGGAAAACCATTTCCCCGCCCACCAGGCGACAACCCTTGGGGGCGCATTTTCCGCTGCATGAGGGGGCGCGGTGTTAACGGCTCTGCGGAGAGCAATTTTCCCCACGAAGAGACAAGAGGCGAAAAAAGAAGAGACAAAGGAAGGCAAGCCAATGTTAATAGAAAATGGTTCGTTGTCGTCGTCTTGCTTGTCGTTAAATTGAAATTGTCGCGGAAATAAAAATTTGCATATTTCAGCATTGATTTCACCATTTCCCCCGGGGGATCCCTGTCGTATGCGCAACGCTGTAGTGCACTCAATAAATTGTGTTGTCTTGAACTTATTTTAAGATTGATTTAATCCGACTTTATTCGGAAGCCCAAAAGCTAAATTGCAGCTTAACTAATTTACTTAACTTTCTTTAATTTAAATAAAATACTTATTCCTTTTTGGAACGTTTTTAAATTTTAGATTCTAAAATTACCATTTTTCAAGGTACCCCTAGTCGTATGCGCAATATTTGAATGCACTCTAAAAATTTCCATAAGCTGCAAAAATTGCGCAAATTAATTTCGGCCGAGTGCATAAACTAAACAAAATCCAATGACCAAAGAGGGAAAGGGGCTGGTGTGCCCTGTGTTTCTCATTACTGACTGCCAGTTCCAGTTGCTGTCTCTAGTAAATCCTGACGCTGTCACAATAAAATCCACTCAAGCTAAACATACGTCAGCAGTGACGAGAGCCTTGGTCCTGGCCCCGACTTTCGGTCTGAGTTCGAGTCCTAGCCCGAGTCCGAGTCCTGGCCAAGTCGCACAAATTTATGCCCCAGAAAAAAAGGCAATCTCCTCCTCTTTGGCGCTGGCAGTGACTCCTCCGAGGCGCAGGATATAATACCAAACTGCTCATTGATTTATTTACGAGCTCCACTGATGGCCAGCTGCCCCATGGGCTAGGGGGCGTGG